AGAGTCTTAGAATATTAAACATAATGTTTAGAATTAAATTTACTAATATCTGGGTTTTCCGACAGAGGATTTCGAGAAAAGACTCGCAAACTTGGAGGGAAGCACAGTGGTGGTCCATGACAAAGGTGGACGATCCGGCGCACTCCTGCAGGAGTTTCTGTCAACCCCGATATTTCTTGAAGCAATTTTTTGAAGCGGCCACATAGTAAATTACAACTCCTTTTTTCTTTTGACTTACTTAGGAAAGAGCCGTCTGTAGATCAGAGTTTAATATTTTTTGAGGTTAATCAAGTACCCGGCACGAACACTTGAAAAGCACATAATCATTAAGATACCATCTCAAAAACATTGCCAGACTCCGCCCCTCACTCTCCGACTCCGTGACAGAAACGCTCATACACGCCTTCATCACATCCCGTCTGGACTACTGCAATGGAGTCCTGTCCGGGTTCCCAGCAAAACCCTGGCCAGGCTCCAATATGTCCAGAACTCTGCCGCCAGGCTTCCTCACCCCGCCACTAAGCCATGTTTCTTACTTCTTACTTGCTACCCCCACCCTCATCCACCTCCACTGGCTGCCGGTCAAGTCCCGGATTCACTACAAAACACTCCTTCTCACGTACAAGTCCCTCCATACCCTCGCCCCCCAGTACTTACCTCCTACATCCCTACTAGGGATGCCAGAAACGAAAATCGGATAGCCCTGGTGAATATTAATCGATTATTCGCCGCCGAATTATTAATACTATTACTATTATTAGCATTAGTCTATATTTTGGTTGAAGCTAAGCCAGGAAAAAAAAGAAAAACATAAATAATAATAAAAAAATATATATAAATAAAATCGAATTTTAAAAATAATTTTCAATTATGGAGACTGTAACAAATATTCGAAAAATCGAATAATCGCTGGCATCCCTAATCCCTAAGCCCCTCTCGGAGTCTGCGGTCCTCAGACACGGGCCTGCTTTCCATCCCCGGCTCTCGCCTTCATACTGTGGGTGACAGGGCGTTCAGTGTTGCGCCCCCACCCTCTGGAATGCACTTCCTCCCGAGATCCGGAACGCTGCCTCACTGGACATCTTCAAATCCTCACTAAAAACGCACCTGTTCACCCTGGCCTTCGGACCCTAGTCCTTTCCTGGTCCCTCTGGTTTCTTTCTTTTATTTTATTTTTTTCTTGTTTTGTTCGCTCCTCATTGTCTGTTTTGTTTTGTCCACCATGTACAGCGACCTTGGGTCCCGTGAAAGGCGCTTTATAAATTCCATTTATTATTATTATTATTATTATTATTATTAAAGTTGTAAATTCCACTTGTAGTCAAATCCAGAGTTATTTTCCCTCCTCTATGGCGTGGTGCAAGAATTAAACCTGGACATTATCTAGGCTTTTAGCCTCCTGACCTCCCTTGTCCCGCTCTCAAAGACTTTTTGATTAGATTTTTGGTTGGATTCCCAAACGAAGGTCTGTACTTCATACAAGTTTAAGAGATTTTTACAATTTCAGTCAGTAAACACTCACTGGCGTCTAAAGCTCGTACGCATCTTTAAATCAGGGGTTGCTGATAAAAGAAGATCCAGGACAGATCAAATTAATGTTGCACTCAAAAGTCAAGACATTTTGGCTGCATGAACCACCAAGCAGCTCTCATAGGAAAGAACAGAGCCCCTCCCCTGACTCTGTACTTTTTATACATCTTTGATTTAACTTTATTCAATACGATTAAATATAATTTACAACTCCTTGGGTGTTACCTTCCAGACCACAATGTGCCATGTGGGCTGCTGCAGCAGGGTCCCGTGGGCAGCTATGGTGGAGAACAGTGTCTGCCCAGCGCTTTTACGCACAGCGGGCCGGGGGTCCACACACATCTCGCCCAGCTTGGCGTACAGACAAAGCCACAGGCAGTCGAAGGGGGGGGCGGGGTGGAAAGGCCTGTTCAGGGTCTCTCCCTTCTCCTTGGCCTGCTTCTGCAGAGCCTCCTCCTCCCTCTCCAGGTCCTGTGTGATGGCCTCGCCTCTTTGGAAGAAGTAGTCTGAAATGTTCCACTGTGGGTGAAAATGGGAAGCGGGGTTAAGGAGTGCGGGCATTAATTGGAGAGGAAGGTCGGTAAAACGCTGCTGGCAGTTTGGCTATCATATTACCATAAAGTAATCTCGCGGGAACAGCCACACTCCAAGATAAATAATTCCGCAAACCACAGATCAATATTGGGTTTTGCATGTCCTGAATACTGTAGAGAGAATCTATCAAATGTCTGCAGAGTGCTTCAGTGCTGTTAAATTAGATCAAATAATGCAAAACAAGGAATTATCAACTTTAATACTATTGGAAAAGAGAAGGACCCAACCTTTCACAAACAAGTCATAAATACACTGTAGTAATAAATAAGGCAGACATTTTGTTTTACTATTTATTTAACCATATTCTTGTTGGCGTAGCCTTGCTACAAATTATAGTAACACACAGCTACACTTGAGAATTGACACCTAAACTTAAATTGAAACAAAATCAAAATGCATGCTTGTTCCTTGAGCCAGACATATTGATTATAATCTGCAGCAAACAAATCTATTATAGATATTGGTATATAAATATTTTGGCATCCGGCTGAATTACAAATTCCATACCAAATCTTGTGAGCTAACAGCAACAGTAAACGAGCTCCTCATACAGAAAAGGAACCAGTTTTTATATGATTAGTAGAAAGGGGATGCGTTGTGATTGATAAACATGATGCTTCCATACAACCTTAGACTTGCTCTATCTTTGACTAAGACCTTGTTACCTGTCTAATCATTTAGTTTGGTCTTCTCTTGCAGAGAGGCAGGAGAAATATTGATATGTTCTTACTTACAAAGTGGTTACTGGGTATCCGCCATATATCACAATAACACTGGACCATATCTAACCCACTCAAATGATAGGCGTATGATTAAGGCCCCCCGAGCTCGTTCTGATCTTGGAAAATCGGTCCTTCCTTTAGTTTATATTGCATCACTTGACCTACAGTATAGCCTCTAGATCAGGGGTGTCAAACTCAAGGCCCGGGGGCCAAATCCGGCCCGCGACTTCATTTTATGTGGCCCGCAAGAGNGTTTACAGTTCCGTGGTGGCAAACTGCAGAAGTGTGGCATACCTTATGTACAGCAACATCACATAAAGGGCTTGAGTACCATATCAGATGAAGCCTGGCTCACCTAGCTGCTGGAGGAGATAGCGCCTGGTGTTGAAGATGCGTGCCACCCCGGCTAGTGTCAGCACCCACGTCTCCGCCCACTGCTTTTCAGCGGTGTCACGTGAGTGGTGGATGAGGATAGCCAGGCTTCATCTGATATGGTACTCAAGCCCTTTATGTGATGTTGCTGTACATAAGGTATGCCACACTTCTGCAGTTTGCCACCACGGAACTGTAAACAATAGCAATTACATATTAAAATGTATGTCTGTGAACCTGCAGTTCTAAGTATAGTTGTCAGAATGTGTCCTCTTTAACTTCAATGTGTTATGTTGGTTTCAAAACCTGTGAAAGTGAAAATATAAAAATATGTTTAGCCAATATTAAGTGCCAGTAGTGCCGCTAATTAAATAGGCAGATTTTCATAATGATAACATTAACAGACAACTGTGACCTGCGGTTCTAAGTATAATTGTCAGTCCTCTTTAACTTCTATGTGTTATGTTGGTTTCAAAATCTCACTGATCAAAGTGCTATTTGTGGCCCTTTATGTACAACATGAATCAGAAATCCTTTATTCATCACACACCATTAACATTATGAAAAGGAAAGCGCGCAGTGCAGATAAAAAGCTAATAAAATGAGTAGACTAACGTATTAAAAAAGAGGCAAGCATATGCGAATAAACAAAAAATCTAATAAATACACATGGTATTAAAAATAAGAACAAAAGTAGCAGCATTATAAAGTAAGTGAAAATATAAAAAAATATGAATTAGCAAATATGAACTGCCAGTAATGCCGCTAATTGTCAGTCTCGCACCCCTCCGTCATCGTGCTGTGTGTCTGCAGGGGATTTCTTCGAGGCCTGGGAGGTGCTGCTGAACCACATCCAGTCGGCGGCGCTCAGCAAAAACAACGAGGTGTCCCTGGCTGCCCTCAAGAGCTTTCAGGAGATCCTCCAGATCGTCACGCCTGTTAGAGACTGGGACAAAGCAGGGGACGCGTTCACTGCCATCGGCGTCCCCCCTGTTCTCATCGACCCCCTCTCGGCGTACGGCCCCGGCAGACCCCTGGTGCGCTCGGACTCTCTGGTCGAGCGGCTGACGCGGTACAACGGCGCCGAGCTGCAGGCCCCTCCCCCCGGAGAGGAGTCAGCCTTAGAGGACTCTGCGTTGTGGTGGTCGGCGTGGAACACGTGGTATCGAACAGGAACGGACAGCACGCGGCCCCCCAGCGGCCCCACGGAGAAGTTCTCCTTCATCCCCAGCCAGCCCTTCCTCACAGCGTTGATCCAGATTTTCCCGGCGCTCTACCAGCACATCAAATCCAACTTCAGTATGGAGGACCTGAAGAAGCTGGGGGTCATCCTCCACGGGGCCGTGTCCGTGCCCATCAGCAGCGACGCCTCGCCCTTCATCCTGCCCTCCTACACTGAGGCGGTGCTCACCAGCCTGCAGGAGGCCGTGCTCACCGCGCTGGATGTCTTGCAGAAGGTGGGCAGAGCAAAATGTGTTGTCAGGAAATCAAAATAAGGCTAACGAAAAGGCTCTTAACATACTGTACTGTATGTTGTCCGTTAGGTTGAGTTAGGGGTCGTAGATGATGAGGTCTCCAGTTTGTATCCAGCAGGAGACCTTCGTTGAATTCATCCTCCTGTCCATCTCTTGACTTTAGACTTAGAATAAAAAATGATCTTAAAAGATATAGCCAAGGAGATCAATTATAGCAAGTAAACATAGTTATCTCCTATTGCGGGTTAGGAACAGCCTTAATGCTTGATTGTGATTTGTGTTACCTATATATCTCAATACTACAAATAACTTCTAAAGGGCTTCCACTGATTACCATTTTAATAATCGATTATCCTTATGTCACAATTTATCAGAGTCCAAGGTGATGTCCTTTTTAATTGTTTACTTCACCAAACAGTTGTGAAAGCAAAGCAAATCTTTCCATTTGAGAAATAGGACCCACAAAATGTGAGCAATGTTTTTATTGGACTGATAAACTGAATGTAATTGGAACAACGTTTTTTCTTGTACCTTTTTAACTTGAAGCGCTGACTCTAAATGAGTACCATGTCTCTGGTAAAAGCAGACCCTTACCTTCCCTGTCGAGCCAAAGTTATTTCTTCCCATTCAGTGTCAACTCAGTCCAGGAAACAATGTGTCAGTGTGCTAAATGATGCAATACGCAGTCCCGTGGTGGATGTCAGCAGTGTTTGTTCCTCCCTTCCCTCCCTGCTGCAGGCCATCTGTGTGGGACCGGAGAACCTGCAGGTCATGTACCCGGCCATCTTCGAACAGCTGCTACTCTTCGTGGAGTTCTCCTGCAAGCCTCCTCAGTACGGCAGGATGGAAACCAAACACGTGGCCAATGCCAAATACAACCAGGTACGAGGAAACAGAATCGGCCGTTTAACTGCCTGGTTATCATTTGCGATTGACGTCCTTTTTACAGTTTGTTTCATTAAAATGTTGGATGGTGTACTCTGTTACTTGTTGAGCTTCTCTCTCCAGCCATCCTCTACAAGATCATCCCTCTTCTTTGATGTTCATGAAGCACCCCTGCTCCCTTTCCCTTTTAGTCTTGTCCTTATGAAGCCCCTATCACGGCCCTCAGGGAGATTGACAGGTTCCTCAGGACCTCCATTAGTGGCCCCGAGCCATTTCTCCCTCATCTTCCCTTCCTCGTGCTACCTCCTGCTGGCAGCACACCAGAGACATCTTTCACTACTTTTAAGTTCAAACAAAGTTCAAAGTCATTTAAAGAACACATTTGTTTGCCAGTGATCTTAAGCAAGACTACAAACCACAAACAATTCTCCTTTCTTCTTAAGATCAGAGGAGTCTGTTCACAACACTGATATCTTACTTACGGTAGTCATTGTTGTTGCCTAAACTTACAACATCCAGCAGGTGCTATGTGTTCAGGGAAACGCTGAGAGTTGCAGTCTGGTACAGAGAAATGTTAGCGCCACACATTTTCGTGTCTGACATCCTGAGGCTGTTAGTCCTGCATGCGGGGTCCAGACTTGGCCCTCAGAGTCTGAATCTGTTTTAAGTTGTTTCATTGAGAGCGTCAAACAACATTTCCACCCAGCCAAACAAATTCTTTGGGTGGTCTTTAATGCCTCGTTGGCTTTTGGTGCTAAGAGTACGGTGGCCGTCAAGTGCAAACGCGCTACCACCGCCCAAAACATTTCCATTAAGAGAAACGCCTGGCAGCATCAGAAACTATGCAAATATAAAAACACAAAAGTGCCAATGCAAATAGAGGAACATCTTCATCAACTTGGCAACACATGCGCAGCGTTTAGAAAACAATGTTGAAGCTCTGGGATTTCAAACTGTAACGGCCCGTCCACACTACAGCTTCAAAAAAAGCTTGTCGGCCGGCGTGTCTGAAGCTCGACCAACAACCAATCACATGAATCTCCCGCCCCTGACACACAAGCAGCGGTTTGATTGGCTAGAGCTTGTACTGGCATATGATTTGATTGGCTGACGCGTCCACCGAAAGCTTCAGAAGCTTCAAAAGTTGAACATTGATCAACGTTTGCAGCCTTAAACGCCAGGAAAGCTCCGCTCTGCTACCCACAATTCAGTTCGGCGAAAAGCGAGGTGACGTCACCCCATTCAAAGTGAATGGGCAGACGCGTTGGAAACCGTTTTTGAAGCAGTCGAAGCTGTAGTGTGGACGGGCCGTAACTGTTGGTCCCCTTTTCCGTTGTCTTTTGAGCTTGGTCGTGTTTTGGATTTGCTGCATTACGTTTGTGCAGCGCCTTTAGTAAATGCTGCGCATGTGTTGTCAATTTGGTAAATAGATTAATTCTGTCAATGTGTTTTGGCAGATTAGCATTTTTATATTTACATTGTTTTTTTTAAACTTGCAGTGCGTTGTCTCCTAATGGAAGTGTTTTTGAGCGTTGTAGCGTGTTGGCACCTGTCGGACACCGTATAGAAGTGTTCCCCTAATTCAGTCCTGGTTATAGAATCTCCTTCGGACAACAAGCCTCTGCAAATTGGTTACAACCCAAACACCAGTTTAATTGCGATTTTCTCTCATTCTCTTTCTCACTGGATAACCATTTTAGATCCAGCTCTTTGCACCGGTGAGTTCCGTCATCATCTCCTTCAGCCCCCCCACCCTCGTCCCCTCTATAGTTTTACTAAGCTGTGCTGAAAGGTGGCGAGCCTCCCTCTGCGGTAGATGAGATATCACACCGCATGGTCGGCTCTCACGTCTCATCTGCGTCTCCTCACTCCATGCTCCCCCCCCCCTCTCTGCCTGCCACTAACTGGTGGTTATGCGTCTGTGTGCACAGCCCCTGAGCAGCTCCATTTTCAGTTGATTTTGTGTTTTTTGGTGATGTTCATTCGCACATGTGTGGTTCTGTTAATATTTCTTAAAGACACACTTTGTAGCATTAAGTCCTTTGTGTGGCTGTAACATGTCAGCTTAGGTAAGCCTAAAAAACTAAACTAAAAACCTGAAAAACAAACTCTGTGTTACTCATATACAAAGTGTGCCTTTTTAAAAACGGCTTTCAATGTGATTCTGGTTATAAGTACAAATAAAGGTTTTCAGATGAGTCCGACTTAAATATCCTGTTTCTCTTCAATCCTCTTGCCCCGCAGGCAGAATGGGTTGCCTTAAACTACGTGCCCTTTGCTGAGCGCTCCTTGGAGGTGGTGGTGGACCTGTACCATAAAACGGCGTGCCACAAAGCTGTCATCAACGAGAAAGTTCTGCAGAACATCATCAAGGTATTATCACCAAGAGAGGGTCATCGTGGGGAAGAAAATCCTGGTAATGTTTTCCAAGACTATCATTCTGACAAATTGTACCAAAAGCAACAAAACAAAAAGTTGGGATGTACAATCTCACACTTTTTGTCAATTTGAAAAGCGTGTTAAAGTTCATTTCCATGCATTTTCTATTGTCGAGTGTAAAATGTTAAAATTAGGCTAGACACGTTTTCTCTCTCAACTGTTCCTTCTGGCAGCCCATTGAGCAGAAGTTGTTGTTGAAGCCTGTTCAGCCTGTTGGGTGTTTTATTATATAGTTTATTAACCCAGAATTACACAAGGTAGAACATTGCTGCTGCTCTCCTAAGAAACCTTTAGGCAAGTTGATCTTCTGGCATACCTTCAAAAACAGGTGTTGTACATATGCTGACTAAGGCAAACCACCAATTCTTTAAACCCAGTGTTATTTTTTGCTGCACTGTAAACACTAGTTTATATAAACAATGGATCAAATGACTGCATGTATCTAGTTGCTCATAGTGACAGACCTATAGGTTGATGAAGTATCCCATTAAATTCAGCTTGATTATAGACAACTATGCGATTGAATAGTCTGTATTCATTGTTTTTTGTGTCATGCCATTTCTTCTAACGGCAAACATGCAAACCGTCAATGTGTGGTGAACTGACTGACTGGATCTTGTGATTTAATTTCCAAAGGGATGTTTGTCTAAAGTAAAATGGAATGCAGATAATGTATATGCATAACGTTTAGTATATTTTGAAATCATTAGTTAATTCTGTTTGCTGTCTAAAAGGAATCTGTCAATGTCCATCTGCCTCTGGGCAACTTTCACTTCACTTGTCTGTCTGACTTGATAGTGATGATCTTAAGGTTGAAACATTAAGGTAAGTGTAAAGTGAAGTTGTGGCACAAGATCAGCAGCATTTTTCTGCCCTATCTGAAATATGTCCTTAGTGCAAGTCGTGGAAATCCTTAATTTTTCTCAAAGTTGACCGTCTCGTTTCTAACACCTGTGTTTAAACGCACTTTCCCATAGTCTGTTTGTAAGAAATCTAAAACCAAAGCACTAAAGGTTCCCCATAGGCAAATCCAAATCTGGCTCCCATTCTTTCCCGTCTCCAAAACAAAAAGGCAATGCTTGCAAAATCCCAACCTAAGGGAGCCCAGCTGTTCTCTCAGAAGAGGAAGTTTTCAAAAAATATTTTTTTTTTTCGTTCTGTAGAATGAAAACTGCTAGTGAAGAGAATGTCCTGACTTTGATGTTGGCTCTATAAATACAAGTTTCTCCACATTTCAGTTTTTAAAAGAGGTGGTGAAAGGTTTTCAGCTGCATTTCATTTGATATATTTTACCTTGAAGTCATTCTCTGTGTTTCAGTCTCAAGATGTTATGTAATTGCCGTCTTCTCCTTTGTTTCCCCTTTCACATTCAAGACTTTAAGAATGCCCTTGGGTTTGAAGTACGCCTGTCCATCAGAGAGCACCTGGAAGCTGGCCGTTTCATCTCTGCTCAAGGTGCTGTCTATCGGGCTGCCGGTGGCGCGGCAGCACGCCTCGTCTGGAAAGTTCGACACTATGTGGCCGGAGTTGGCCAATGCCTTTGAAGACTTTCTTTTTACCAAAAGGTACAGATTCAGGCAATAAGGTTGAATACGCACCTTTTTAAGGAACCAAACTCATTATTTCGTTGTTTTTTTCCATATATAGCACACCCCCAGATAACGTTTCTATCCAAGAGTTTCAGAAGAATGAAGCCATTGATGTAGAGGTAAATACTTTCCTAGCATCCAGTATATCAGTGTCTCTTTATTATATAGACTCTATGCATTACATTAATGCACACATTTTAACACTGTCAGACCTGCACAACCCTCTGAAATGTGAAGCATACCAATACTGCACATATTTAATTGTATTATACTTTATTTTTACGGGTATATCTATATCTCATCTATATTCCATGTAAATATTGCTACATTTTAATGTTATAATAACACAATTCCTCGTATGTGTAAACCTACTTGGCAATAAACCTGTTTCTGATTTGGATTCTGAAGGTGACCCACATCGTCATTGTGTCTTTTTTATTTGAGGTGGTCCAGCTGATCAGCACAGAGATTTTACCGTTTGCCAACTTCATCCCCAAAGACTTTGTTGGCCAGATAATGGCCATGCTCAATAAAGGCTCCATTCACTCGCAGTCTCCCTCATTTACAGGTAAGACGTCCCTTTTGCATTTCACTTCAGCTCTGTTGTTGTTTTTGCGTATTATCGGCGCTCGCGGGGCGGCGAGGGTGGCCGCGCGCTGGAGTCACACTGAAACCATTAAGTCCTTGGGCCCTCCCTGTGGCTCATCTCTAACAATGGCTGCTGTCAAACTCTTCATATGTTGTGCAAGCCCTGTGTCTGCCCTCATTGTAAATCACTCTGGAGAGCAGCCTCAGCAGAACGTCTCATATGTTCAAATGTTTTTCTCGTGACAGAGGCCGAGATCGATGTGAGGATGAGGGAGGAGTTTTCTAAGGTGTGTTTCGAGACGCTGCTGCAGTTTTCCTTCAGCAACAAGGTGTCCACTCCACAGGAGGGCTACATCTCTCGCATGGCGCTGTCTGTGCTCCTCAAGCGGTCCCAGGATGTTCTCCGACGCTACGTAGAGGACGAGAGGTTGAGCGGACGCTGCCCCCTGCCCAGGTACACCCAACCATACACCTCTTAATATGAATTATTCTTTTTTAATATGATTGTTAACTGATTTTCTCACCAGAAACCTGCCCCTTAACACTGTTTATTGTTCGTGTCATCATTAACACTGAGACATTTCGCAAGAAAGAAAAAAGACCACCAGAGCTCCAGTCCCGCATCCATCACTTGTCCTTTTCTCTTTTCGTAAACAACACAAAACCACTGTACTACACTTTTACAAACTGGCACCACATTAAAGGCTTCGGTGTCATGTATCATACTGCATTTTCTTTTTTTTTCTCAAGACGTGATGGAAGTTAAATCATGCCCATGGGGAAATTGCACCATTAGTACAGAAAATGACTAAAGGACGGTGGTGGGGGGGGTTGAGAAGAATAGGATAATTACAAAATACATATGAAGAGCAATTGCAAGGTTATTTAAATTCAGACACACACATTTTAAGAAACTCAAGAAATATGTGGTTCAATAAAAGTGCCTACCACATGCTTTCTTTCTTTCAGTGGTCAAATACGTTAAATCCTCATCTCCTTTGTTAGCTTATATCTTTTGAGCCACACAAAAATCTTCTAACTGTAACATCTTCAGGTTTTTTGTACAGGTTGTAGCTAATAAAGGTCTTTGGTATTTCTCTTTTTAGGCAACAAGTGACGGAGATTATCTTTGTGTTGAAAGCCATCAGCACTTTGATGGACTCGCTTAAAAAGACACAGCCAGAGAATGGTGAGTGTCAAACTTTTGAAATGGATTAAATAGATCTTTGGAAGAGGTGACACTATGATACAAACATCATTTATTCATTTCAGCTAAATGTGTCAGAGTACAGTTGGGACCATTTTTCAAATGAGTTTTATCTCCAATCTGGGTGGAGCTGTTTACGTCTCCAGCAAGGTCAATTACTAGAAATCATTATTTTAACCGCCATCGTTCTGAAGTGAGGCATTTGAAAATTACATTTTTGAAGTGCCCTTCAAGATGTTTGCACTACATCGCCCTTTATTCAGAGCAAAACTCATTTCCGTACGCCTGTGGGAATTTCATGAAGGAAATGATTTCTTTGATTGCCTTCCATCACAATTCATATTCTCCTCTTCCTCCCCTCCCCTCCCCACTCCCCCCTTTGTATTTTCTTCCCTCTTGTTCCCTCTTGTTTACTCTCTACAGTGGATGGCAACACATGGGCTCAAGTGATCGCCCTGTACCCGACACTTGTAGAGTGCATAACATGCTCCTCGACTGAGGTGAGCTCGGCCCTGAAGGAGGCCCTGGGGCCCTTTAAAGACTTTATGCAGCCACCTGTGTCCAGAGTCCAGAACGGAGAGTCCTGACCAGGCTCACTCAAATTTGTTTTTTTTATAACAAAGAAATCTTGAATGTGTCTTCTCCACCCACGTGCTTCACAAGTGCACGGACATGAACTCAACGTGAGCCCCATCTACAGTGACATGAAGTGACCCCTGACGAAGAGAGATCCAATGAGGCCAACGCCCCCCCCCGACCTTCATGCGCATCATCGTACGCTTCTCATGTGAGCCGATTACTCATCTGGCCACTCCATTCTCATTCAGACTGACTGCACTCTTGAGTTAACTACAGAGATTTGAAAAAGATTGCAGTGTTGCCTGTTTGTTTTATTCTCCTGATGAGGTGGAATCGATGTACAGTGTGTGGTGATAGTGTTGATGATGTAATTCACAAAAAAATGCAACAACTGGGGCTTTCTTGATCTTAAAAATTAACACTTAAACTTTTCCAACATTTTCAACAGTAAGGATTTTATGCAAGAAAACAAATCTTACTGTAACATTCCATGTCATCTATAGCCAGCCATCTGAGAAGGGATGTACCTGTCTGTGTAAAATAAATGGGATAATTCTACGATCAGCTCTGTGCTCCGAGTGTGCTCAGTTACAATGCATGTTAAGTTCATTAACGCACCATCTTGAAAAACATAAATATTAAGGCATATAAATTCCCTTTTTTAAAGTTGTCCTGGATTAATAATGGCTCTACTTTCAAATTAGCCAATGACCTGCTAGATTAAAGTCTTCTTCAATACAGGATCATGTTTATTTAGGAAATGTATTTATTTTAAGTAGATAGGGGGAATGGTTCATTTGTGATTGACAGGTTTCTACAAAGGCCATCCTAGGTGCTCTCCGAGTTTTAGTCCTACAAATGTAAGTCTTTCACGGTTTGTTTTTAGATCATAAAAGGAAGATTTAAACCTCTTAAAATGTGTTGCTCAACACTGTGGTACTCTGCTACACCCTCTTGTGTCAATGCTTGTTCCAAAAAACAAGATGGTGTCGGCTTAAATGCCCAACATGAGGCTTCAAAACCAATGATGTCATTGTGATTACAATGACATCAAATCGTTGAGTGCCAAACGTGAATTAGTCCGTTTCCAACTAAGAAACAAGCCAGCTCACACAGGGAAAGTGATTTAATAAGATGCACTTAATCTAAATATTTCACCATACAATTGTTATATTGTTATTTTCTCCACACTTTTGTGTTGTGCTTAGTCATAATTTAGCAATACTGCTATCTATATAGTTAGTGACTGTTGGTTACTTCATGAACAGACCTATATAACTCCCAAAATACCACAACACCATTCATATTGCAGATTGTAATTAAGCCTTTGTGTTACAGAAGTTTAACACATATTTATTGTAGTTTCCTGTTTTTGATATTGTATCCACATTTGAAGTTGAGGGACATTTAAAAGATAATTTTTTGAACATGTGTGGAAGTATATCTCCTTGTACTGAACAGTAGGTGGGGTTATAGCTGACTGAAGCTCAGGAATAGAAAACAGCTACACTCTAAACTTTGTGCTCGTTTCCCATGCAGACATAGATAGCCTTCCCATGCTTTAGGGACCCCTCGGCTCCCCTACAATGTCCCATGAAGATCCCCAGGTCCGAGTTTCGGATTATCTACTGGGTCATATGAGGGGAAGGGACCGTTTTGTGGTTTGCAATGAGGAGGAGGAGGAGGAGGAGGACGAAGAGGAGTGGGAGGAGGAAGAGCGCGGAGGGAGCAGGTCTGCTTGGGCGGGTTTTCCCTCTTATTTCAAGTCTGCACAGAAGAAGAGAGGTCGGACAATCTGCATGGGAATGTCGCTGTACAGTCCAGACGGTGCATTTCTTTCGACCTTTTTTCCGTCTTTTTCTTCTAATATCGTCGTCTTCGCCTCGCTCTTTCACCATGCACTGGCTGAGGTAGTAGTTTGTGCTGTTGGTTGGGTTGTGACACTGCCCGCTATGGAGATGACTGCGCAATCTACTGCCTTGCTAGTGCTGGTGCCTCCACTTCGGCCGAGGAAAAAAGAAAGCCCCGCTCACAACGCTGTTATTCGGTTTAAACAGGTAATTCACAACGCTAGTGTCGCACCATGTTAAATATTCAGCTGTAATGTTACTGCTTTTTGAACTGAACCCGTTTGCTGTTTCATGTTTCATCCAATAAAATAGTGCACGAATTTGGAGAATAAAAACACTTTGTATGCAGTTTTAATTTTACATAATTTCGACTTGAATCGGTGCTTTTTTGCAGGCAGGAGGGCGAATCTTGCATGTATTGGCTGGGAATCCGAAATGCAAGTTTCCATAATGTGTATGCACATTTTAAAAAATGCACGAAGAAGTCGATATCGTATGGATTTGCATAGTTTGTCAGCACCGCATGCGGAGTTGGCTGTGTAGAAAGCATGTAGGTCAACAGTGCTGTTGCTAAAAGGAGAGGAGTGACGTGGCTCCTGCTGCCCACAGAGGTATCCTGCAATACATCTGCTATGATATACTGGCTTTATGGCTCTCCTTTGTTGATAATGCTGCATACCAGCACACACTGGAGCAGAGAGTGTTGCACCTAAACACCTCTTATATGCAGGGATGAGCTCAGAGACATAAATCTGTGCTGTTGGTAATAATCTGATTATTATGCTAAATCTGGATGATGAGGTTTAGCATTTGAACTCCATGGGTGTGCACGCACAGACAGACACCACATGACCTCCCCCCCCCACAGGCAGTGATGTCCTCACAGAGGTCTGGGAGTGCAGCCTGATGTGGGTCATGCGTTGAGGGTTAACCTTTTGAAATCCTCCCTCTGCTGCCCAACAGCATCTGGCTCCGCGGTATCACATTAGTATGGGCAGTCAGGGGTCTCGTGATGGGGGTGGGGAGCAGAGTGGGTAATGAGCTTTGATTGCCTGCAGGGGCCAGGGTCGATGAAACCGTGCAGGGGCCGCAGTCTTTGAGTTCAGACTCCCCTCAGCCCAGATGAGAGCCCGCCCCTCTCTGTCTCAATGACTGACTGAAGATTGAATCCTGCGTTTGACCTTCCGAGAAGACTCCCATGAAATATGTATGAGTTCACACATGATAGTGTGTTAGGCAGAGTTATGTTCATCATCATGGGACACGGCTTTGCCCAGTATCATCTGTGCTGATATCAAACTATAAATGCTGTTCCGGAGAGACACCTAGGTTGAAAAACGGTGCATGTTGAGCAGCAGTCCTACAGGTCTGCATTACATATATTTACATAAGAGTCTGTCTAATTTTAGAAATACAAGTGATCCGGCCTCCAGGGTAAAACCAAACATCATTTATCATATCCTGACTGTGAGGAGAGCCAGTCTATGGAACAGTGAGCAGCTCAGAGGCAGCCCTGTCCTCATCCATCTTGTGTCAAAGCTCTCATTTGAGCCGGCCTGCAGATAAATCATACTTCAGGCAGCCGAAGCCCTAAAGCAAGTTAATTTGAGCCCCCGGTGGAAAATGCCCGCTCAGACGGGTATCACAGCTGCACCGCTGAAGCAGCCGCACCCATCATGACAGGACAGTTGACCCTTATGTGTGTTATCCAAATACCTTCACACGTGCCGCCTCTGTAGTGCAACATGTTTGAATTAGTGCAGAGTTGATTGTCCGAAAATCTATTGAAAACAATTTGTCAGTAAAGGTCATTTTCCAAGCAAAAGGCCAAAAAAGTGCTTTGTTTTTCGTTTGTCAAATAAAGGTTTATGAAACAATTATTTTCTTTGTAGTGTAATGTCTGTTTATCATTATGTAAATACCCTCAAATGACTGAATAGATTAGTCTATAAAACATAAGAAGAGTGGGAATTTACCATCATAAAAGCCTTAATGACACAAAGGGATTCAGTATTTAAATACATTGTTTGACCCACCATCAATCAAAAATATAGAATTATTTAAGTAACTACAATTTATGACCAAATAAACCGACGCATTCTCACAATAAAACATAAGTTATCACCACATTTCCAACATTTTCTTTGTGAAAAATAACGATGAGTCAGTTGATAACAATTGCCAATCAATTACTGTTGATTAATTACTCCAACATTAACATTTATCCTTTGGTTTTTAGGCTTTTGGTTGGGTAAACTAGAAACCAGAAGTCGTCACCGTGGGCTCTGAAAATGTTGATTGTTTTTCACAATTTCTGGTATTCGTTTTGATAATCAACAGGAATTTATTTGGCCAATGTTTTAAACATTGATTCATCGTTTTAAGAAGCAGTGTGTAGGATGTTGTGGCATTGAAAAGTGAGATTGGAATTTAATTTGCTGAATACCACTCTGCTCACAACTACCTTTCCAGACATGACGAGAATCTATATGGTGGCCTTCAGTTAATGTAAAAAAGTGAAAGGCCTTCTCTGGTTAGTCAGCTCTGTAGAAACATGATGGAATCTTTTGAAGAGGGCCTACCCTCCTTCTTAGGTTACACAAAAAGGAATGTGACTTTACTCTACACACTATTACAAATAGCAATCTATATTGTTTTATTTCCGCCAATAGATCTTTAAGAACAGAGTGGGTCGTATGGCGTACAAACTGTAAATCCCCCTTAGACACATGTGTGATATTGGGCTAAATAAATCAAATGTGATTGATCTCCCTTTATCCTACACAGTGCTCCTTTCAGTCCTCTTTGAAGCAAACACATTTCATGGTTTCAACATATCAAATGTGATGTGTTGTATTATACATTAAACTGTATAGCTTTAGGTAAGTCAGGTTAACTGTTAGTTGGACATAAGGAATACATACTGACAAAGTGATTGGCTATCTATAACGAAAAAGGTTAAAAGAATATAAAAAAAGAATAGTATCTTTTGCATGTGTCCTCCTCTGAAAGCAGTCTTAGAGGCTGCGGCCCCGGCAGCATGTCACCTTTTCAGCACGAGAGATGAGTATCTCGCTGCAGGCCCACTCAGCATCTCCCTCTGATCTGTCCACGGTGGGGTGGGAGAGCTGTAACCTTGGAAAAACCAGCCGCCCACAGGAATGACTGTGTCATCATTGCCGTCATACAATCTGGACCACACACAGGAGTAGGAGTGGAGTGCCAGATCAGAACTGGCCTGAGAGGAGGAGGGTGCGGCGCTGGCCTGTGGGGACCAGATGGCCCTCAGCTCCTGCAGAGGACCCGGAGTGTGAGACTCCCACGAGAGCACGTTATTATCGTCTTGAGTGTGTGTAGGCATTCATAGGGGTATGTGTGTGAGGAAATCATACCCTGATCTTTGCATGTGGGTAGCATGAATCAAGTACAAGTGATTGTTTACAATTGTTGAAGACATGGGTGGTCCATAAACCTTCCCTGGATCCCTGCTAACATTCAGTGCCTTTACTTCCCATCTTTTGTGCCTTGTTTACTTTAAGCTTTATTTCAGACAATAGAAACAATCACTTTAGTAAGAAAATACATAGGTAAAAAATAAGATAATAAAAAAAGATATCCGGTAAAAAAATATAATGAAATTCAGTTCAAATGACCTGCTCATATTAAGTTGTACTGCAGCAGTGCCTCCTAATTGCTCTCAGGTGCAAACATTCTCACTGATTAGGCTCCCTGATACAAGTCAGATGTGCAGACTGCTTTAAAGGTTCTCATTGATGCTTCATTTGTCATGATTCTTTGTTTTATATGCCTTGATGCGTTACAAAATGCTTTTCAAGGGACAAAATAAAAAGTTATTCCATATGAAGCTTTCTTTTTTCTCACACAAAGCATGTTGATATATCCCAGGGAGGAACAGGTGTTGATATTGAAATATTTTTTAGCTGCGTTATCTTCGGGGTCCTGGTATTGTGCATGCTGACTCACTGTCTCACTGGCATTGCTTATACATGACTATAAAAGAGCCATCTTATTAACGACACCTGTGCTTTTCTTACAATGACAGGTTAAAAAAAAGGCCTATTTCAGCTTGCTATTGCCATTGTATTTTGGCGTACATTTATATTCTACATTTTATAAGAATCTGATAGCGTTGGGCACCTAACCTACCAGTCTGCAGCCGTGGCTGATTGTAACAATACGATTTCATCCCAAATCTGTGCTAAAATTGTATTTATAAATAATTCCAGTGTAAAAAATGCTGGCTTTAAAGAAGCCATCTTTGTTTTGTTTTGCCTTTCCAGTAGTTTTTTTATATACGTTTTTGTGCATGTTAATGGTCTGCAAAGGCTAAAATCCTCTACGCTAGTGCTCCAACACATGTGATAGGCTAAGGGGCGGGATGTCTCTTAGCAGTTGACCAATCACAACACAACCTGCCGGCCGACCAATCAGAGCAGACTGGGAGAGGGTGAAAATATTTGCTGCAGCACAGGAAGTATGTGAAAAATAAAGAGCTTTTTTAACATTAAAGCATGAAGACATGTCATAGTAGAGGCACTAAATACACATTTGAATCTGAAAATGAGCATAATGTCTTCTTGAAGAAGTGGCACCCGAAAAAGTCCCTAATACTGGCTTTCATAAGGAAAACTATCTATGTGCTAATGTACAATAGAGCACATACGACATGCTCATTCCCACCAAACCATAGACTACTAGGGGGTCCATAATGTCATAAAATCAGGTTTCATGACTTTGGAATGCATTTTTCAAACGATATCTCAGTCATCTCATGAACCCTGAAAGCGTTATCCTGTGATTTGATCTACATCTTTGGTCTCAGGTATGTCAGGTATTTGGTATCACAGCACTTAAGGATTGCACCAAAAAAGTGATTCCTCATTGTCACTCCCGCTTTTACTTATTCAAGTGAGACACTGAAGGGTAAGACCAGTTGAAATAGGGACGCAAATCTCGTGCACTTTTTTGTCAAGTCGAGTAAGTGAGTGTGTGCTTCAGTGTCAAATTACACCCTCGCAGCAGCCACCGCCACCATGAAATCTTCTGTCAGTCTGTTCTGTGAACTGATACCCTTCATCATATTGCTTTGGGACACGCTTGACACAGTTTGTCAGAAGAGGTGATGGTCTTATTCTAAAGTTACTGAAGTGTAAGGGAGTTTGGCCCGATTCAAGCCAAGATATTTCTACAGAACTTATTTTAAGACTTACATTCCCTTTAGGATTTGCCAGCCAAATATCCTAATATATAGAATTCAAACACATAAGTAGCAGCTAAACACAGTACAGGAAGGTCATGACTGGTTTTAGGATTAACAAAAATGAAATCCATTAATGCTTTTTAAATACTATAAGTCTGTTTGCATACACAGACGTAGTGTGCTCACTAAGAGCATCACAGGATTATCCACATATTGTATTTACAGTAAGTACACCATTTTATTATTAATAACACAGCAGAGTAAAGAAAAAAAGGTTAATTTTTTTAATAGAGCAGAAAAAAAGAGCATTTACACAATTTGTTGTCACTGTTCCTTGGTTTCCAAAACAGTACAAATAAAGTGTTCAGTAAGATGTACATTACTAACAGCAAAAGAAACAAGAAAAGTATACACTTGAAACATTATTTACATTTTTACATTTAAATTACTCTGTTCCATTGTTCACCAGCTTCAGCCACTCGTACAGCCTTTAGGTTACAACATGTTGACAAGCTGAAAAATACAATTAAATCAAAATATGGAACGCCACGGATTCAGCCAACAATATTGATTGTAGACACATAGGGTAATTGCTGTCTAATGAATTGTCTGCAGTGATAGTCTTATACTTCCTTTCACGTGACACATTAAAAGCAATTGTCTTTATTATAGGCACCTGCTATTCATAAAGTTGGGGTTTTTCTTATTAGGAACAACACATCCAACGGATACTGAGAAAAGGGTAAACATGAGTGCATGACAAAGGGTTTTTGAGCCTAATATATATGAAAAATATATATCTTGTACAACACTTTACCTATCACACAGTTCCCTGTGAGGCGTTTTTACTTTCTTGAGAGATTCTCTAAAGACGTTTTTACAAATCTTGCAGGTACGGTATAACAATGTAACTCAAATAATGGCACAGGAAACAGCTGACGATGCACCTGATGTAGCATGAAAACAGCCACTAGAAGAGGACTATGACAGTATGAGTTAGCATAATATACAAAACAAGGAAATAAATGATGAGGTAGAATGGATGGAACAGAAAGACTTAGTTTTTCCTTCTTAAATCTTGGGTTTGATTTAATACTATAATTAGTATCCTAGGGAGTACTAGGGAACTGGTCCTGTCTTCATATTTATATTCCTTCATTTAACGGAATCAGTATTCCTTCATTATAAGTAAGTTATTGAAAGTGCAGCATCAGGAGACATACTGTCCAGAGAAGATTTGCACGTTTTTCAGACTAAGAATAGCAGATGATTGAACGTAGCTAATTAAAAAGCTGGAACAGAGGACTTATGATTCATATATGCAGGACATCAGTCTCCAGGTTAGTTTCTTTTACACTGTACAAGTGCTCAACTAAACATACTTACCGAATGTTTTACACCTAGGATTATTTACATTTTCACATTTATAAATATTGTGCATTAGTTAGTAATTGCAATCCTGAGATGCACATCACCACGTCTGTCCATGAGTCTAATGCTCCCAACCTTAGGCTTCCCCCACTACAAAGTTTATGATGGCTTCTTCGAGATTTGAAAGGAAAAAAAAAAGCTCTTCCACTGCTTTTCATGTTTCTTTTTCTATAAAAAGGACCAGACAAAAAGAGATCATCCTGATTGAGGATTATCAAGGGGGTAACAAAAAAAAAAACATCCCATTTGTGACCAGAGACATCTTGGATCCCTGAGCAGAGGATTCCACACTAAAGCACTTTAATAAAAAGAGCACAGGGGACGAGGGGATCTGCAGAAGTCAAAGGCAGGGTTACGTTTCGTAGCTGGGGCTAGTTCTGCTTGTTGCCGTACATGAGGGGAATGATGTAGGCAGTGATGTCGTCTCCAGAGCCTAATCTGTCGTTGGATATCCTCCAGCCTCGATCCTTCAGCACCCCTCGTGCTCTCATCACGAGGTCCTGAGCTGCCATTGTGTACCTGACATAACAAATAAGATGAATGATTAAGGCGTATCCTAGTGCAGTATTTTATCAAGTAAGCACATCTGCCTGAAGACGAATGTTGAAAAATATTGTGATTAACTTTAAGCTCAAAGCCTTGTTAACATTCTTACGAGCTCTTCCTTGACATCACAGTTATCTAAATGTTTGGAAATTTGCATAATTACAACAAGATAACAGCGTTCATCCTCTACAAATAAGGCCGGGGTGAGGGGAAGTTCAGCCCGCCCCTGACTGCAGCTGTGTGATGAGTAAAACGTGCCTGTGCTGGTCGTCGGGGTCGCAGTTTGCCAGGAAACAGGTGATGGCTTCGGACGCTTCCTGGTTAGAGAGGACGTCCCACAGACCGTCGGTTCCCAGCACCAGAACGTCATCAGCCCCATGCTCGCACTCCACCAGAGGGTAAACTTTGACCTGGAGGCGGAGGGGAAAAGACCGGGCAAGGGTTGAGAGGTGCATCATTTCTAGGAATCATTTGAACCTACAGCAGGAACCAGTCACATAAATAGTTTGGTAGAATTGGAATTATGCATTATTCTAGTCCAAGTGCTAACTTTGTAGTCCCCCCAGATGTTTGGCCCAAATGTTCTAATTGCAATCCAATCGAAGTGCATTTCTTTACCATGGTACAGGGAAAAGCAACCATCAATTTAGCTGATTCCATTTTTTATATTGGAATTTATGTTGATGGTCTTGAATTTGCAGCAACTCTGCCAACAGTTTGGAGACAAGTCTTTGTTTTGTTTTTTTGCCAAGTTGGATATATGGTCAGCGTTTATGATTCTCTCTTTCCCCGACTAGGCATCTTGAAGGTTCAGGCCAAATGCAAAATATAACTTTGTAATTACTCTTGATGGTAGCTAATCCATTTAAGTTTCATTTCCCCACAGTTCACAAGGGCAACTTTTGTGGCATCCAAAAAGTCCCATAAACTAATCTTTAAAGTAAAATGTAAAGTACATTTTTTGTTTGTATAAACAAATCTAGGAAGTGATACACTACTTATGCTTCAATCAAATTGGGACTTGGCAAAGACACTGCCAAGTGAATTACACAAAGAGACAAAGCTATTTTACAGAAATAAATAGTATAAGTGAACACTGAATTGAGCAAAATGTAGAAGGATATATTACTTAAAGTGGACCTATCATGCTATATTTGAATAATATAGTGTAGGACCATACCTATATAAGGCATATTTATACTTTTTATTTTTAAAAATACCAAACAGATCATGCATTTTAGCCATTTAACACTGTCTTTGCATGGGCTGATTCTGTGAGAACAGCACCATCTACAGGCCTGGCATATGTACTACAGCGTCTCCAGCGCTTTCGAACGGCAATGTCCGTGGCTGCCACTTCTGTGACGTCATATAAGTGTTCAAATCTGGATCAGTCTGTATCAGATCCGTTGCAGCCCCTTTTTAAGAGATTTGGGTACGGAGGAAAATAGAGATGTTTGTGTTTTCTGACACTTGGTGAGTTCCCTGGAACACCGGGGACACATATTCATTTATAAAAGACAAACAAAAGTGCATTTTTTATGATAGGTCACCTTTAAGCATTTTCTAAATACCTTTTTTTATTGAATTGAAAAATACAGATACTTAAAAACGGAGGGAATAAATGTTAAAAAAATGTTTTACCTTTATTTATGTTTTTCTGGAATTTAGAAAGCCTTAACCTTTGATGACTTCCAAAGAGATATTTAACTGTGGCACAACTATGCCTGAGGAAAAATACTTTTGTAAATACCAAGCAAAATAATTCCCAATGGCCTTGGCCTTGGCAAAATAAAAAAAACCGCCTTGTTTTGTTTGCTCAAAGTAATTCATTGGCTGCCACGGGGGATACCACGGGCCTTTTCACAACAGACAGCAACATACTGCAGAGGCTACTGCTAAAGGAAAGCGTTTGTAAAGGAATGAGGACGACTTCAGCGTGGATCATGAGCCTCTTTGTGTTGTGGTTAACCTTGTGATTTAAGCCCAGCTTTCTTGGAGATAAAAGGACTGAGGCAGTTTCGTAGAATTTATTCCAAAAGCAATAAATTATTCCTGGAGGAAGGGGGATGACCACCACCACAGCGTTTGATTTGTGACCGCTGAATGCCATATTTGAACTCATGATGATCTGATGACTCCGTGTCACAGCATCTTCCTTTAACCAGGTTTGACACTTCTTACACATACTATTAATGTGTGTCATCTGAGAGTGAACAATAGTGACTACAAGCATCTGAGGGAAAACATTGAAAAAACATCAATTAGGAGGCTGAACTATGACTGAACTCAAAGGGCAATGAATTAAAGATCAACAGAATCCAGGCGCTGACTACTGCAATCATGTGCGGTACACACTGGGAAGGAAAGGAGACGTTTGAGAGCGACGGCTTGGGGGGAATCTTAATGTGCCGCTGACCACGCCGTGCAGACTGTTAATGGCTGAAGGCATTTTACAGCGCTACCTCTGCGCTCTCGTTTGTTCAGGACGCCGAGGTAATGAGGTGAAACAAAGAGAAAGGTCCACCGTACTATAAGCACACTGCTACTGATGATGCTAAGGGCATTTCCGTTATTCAGTGTTGCAGACCTAAGACGCCAATGATGTGATTTTAGTAGCAGAAATACTCGATTTAGATTTAAAATAGCAGTTTCGTCTCTTGACATTAAACAATCGAAATGAGCAAATTCAGAGAAGAGAAGGCAAACATTTATTAATCAAATGCAAGGATGTGTTATGTTGTTCCTTTGTTTGTTTATATTTCTGTAAAACTATTCAAAAAGAGGTATAAAGACACAATTCTCACAAGGTACAGGGATGAAATTGCTAAACCATAACTGTTTATATTCTTGTTTTGTATTCTATTTATGAATTTGTGTATGTACACATGTATATATATACATATATAGAGACCATTCTCCTAACTTGCCTGTATATATTATATGAATGATTATAGAAATTATTCAAGATTATAAGTATACATTTATATTGTATGTTAACATATATTAAGATGTAAAAAATAAAAAAAGGGAGAAGGGGTCGGATTAAATAAGTGTAAACTTCTTCCGACCCCTTTTCGGACGTGTAATTAGCTAAAGCTTTGTTGTTTATTGATATCAGACAATGATACTACAGATTATTAATTATATGTTTCGTTTTGTTATTGCATTCATTTGTATACTGTATCATGTCTGTATCACCTTTTGTTTCATTTGTATTTTCTTTAGTTTTACACGCTCGAAAAAAAACAAAAAACTAAACTAAACTAAGCATAAAGTCTCCTGTGTTCAATGAAAATAGTCGAAATGTAGGAAATCACTAATTGAAGTGACCGTTTGAGGATTTGTTTGTTTAAACTCACTAGCTCTCATCAAACTTTGAAGTGGTTACACTCTTTTTTTATGTGTAAAGGATCATTTCAAAAGAGCGATTTCCCTTTGTCTGTGCACACTGTGAGAGGTGACATAATGAAGGACAGCATTATACATGGAGCCTACCTCTGGGCAGCAGGACAGGAAGGGCTTAATGTAGATGTTAGAGTCGTGCACTTTCAGATTGTGGTCCCCGAGACCTCTGGTGACGCCGATGGTCGCCAACACACGAGCCTGCAAGAGATCAGAGGCAAGAGGACCTCGATTTCAGTCAAAACAAGCAACAATATATTCTTAAAGGGAAATTCTGGTTTATTTATGATAAGCATCATTTGTATTGATGCTTATAATCACATTTCACTTGCCAAAGAGATTTTTTTTTTTTTTTTTAAATGCAGATATTCAAGAAAGATGAGCAATCAGATAAACCAACAGTTTAAGCCAAATCATAATTCCTAAACCCCTGGCCTCAGACACCATTAAACTCATTTGTAAGCTGTGCTAAACTCCTCTTGGTTCCTACAGTCAGCGCAGGATGGTACCACCGTCTCTAAAAAAAATGGCTGCTGGAACAGGTCTGTGAAACTGGGCTAATTGAATCTTCTGTACAGCCGATGAGACAGGGGGGGGGGGCACACAGGGCCGGGGAGAGGGGTACGAGGGTTAGGCCTGGTAGTAGTGAGAGTGGATCAGTATGCAGCAGAGAGACGGAGAGCTAAGCAGACAGAGAGGTGGAGAGAAGGGAGAGCGTTTCAAAGCTCCTACGGCGGAGAAGGGGAAACATCCTGGGATTAATTGTTGAGCGTTGGGGCCCAGCAGGCTGCGCGCCGGGTCTTTGAAGTGATCCGACGCTCCTCTCCCCTCGCACAAAGCCCCCTTGCTCTATCTAGCCATCCATCTCCACGCCTCACTTCAAAGGGAGAGGAGGCGACGTGGGCACGGCCGCCTGTGCCGCGGTGAACCCGAACAGCGGCTGCAGGCGGAGAGCACGGCGAGGTGACATCTGCCCCAGACATCCGTCAAACATAAACTCACTCTCGGGCTGCATTAACTAGAATACTGGAGGAGGCCACAGTGGGAACATATTCAGATCTATCGTGTTTCCTCTCTGACCTTCTCAATGCACCAAGGACAAGATGCGGCACATGTACAGCACTGAGGGAAATGTCATGACGGTGTGCGGAGAATCTGACCTTTTCTTTTGTGTTACAGCACGTGTCAAACCACTGACGAGAGTTTCCTGCATGTCAAGGGTTTTGCAATGTTATATTCCAATTATTACACGGCTTAGTTGAATACTCGATTCTGATTGGTCAATTGGGACATTTCAGAGGTTATTAATACTCGATAACACACCGCTGCTAAGCATAACATTGCTGTTGCTAAGGGCGATCATGGGAGAAAAGGAAAGAGGTTAAAAGACGTCATATAAATCAACAGAAGAAGACAGGCAGGAAGTAAACACTAACAGGAACACGGTTGGGGCTCTGGCATTGTTTAAGGACTTGTTATTGTAAAACAAACTGTGAAAATACTTGTTGTTGTTGCCACAGTTCCTGCCGTTGGTGCGCCGTGGAACGTTTAATTTTTTCTTAGCAGAAGCAAAACGATAATTTTCAAGTCAATAAAAATAATTTCAAGTAATTCAAGTCGTTAGTGTATTTAGTATGTGGCCGTGTAATAAGTGGGATAATGTGCACCTTGGTAAGTGTCATTATTGCTTTACATTATGTCACTTTTTGGACACTTTACATTCACTTTCTTTTAACACATCTCATAAGTGGCATCCATCGTTGACTCCAATCTGACATAGAGTCCATTAAAGCGGAGATACTTTCTGTTATACACGTTATGATTAGTCGTGGAAAAAGAGGCCAGGAATGCCTTCCACTGGCTGTCTCCTCCACACAGTGACAGGGGGGGGGGGTGTGTGTGTGTGTGGGGGGCTGACTAATGGTGCCCTGGTGAGCTTTGATTACAGCCCAGGCTTCACAAGGCCGTGGGAGTAACTCTGTCAGCGAGCGGCCGCGCAGCACTTCTTACCTTCTTTCCTTCGCCGTAGATCAGGGGAAACTTGAGGTCATCGTCCTCGATGGTTTTATACGCCCTGCGCAGAGGAGAGAGGACACTTTAATGGGTTTTTGCTTTATAGCAGGCAGCGTACACGTGCCCTGGAGATACATCGCTCCCACGCCCCCCGCAGGCCCTGCTGCCAAGCTGACTGCCACGAAGAGAAAGAGGGAAGAGAGAGACGATGAGGGAAAAAGTCCAGACATCACACAGAGAACGACACAGCCTTGGCATATTTTACCCCTTTTTCTCTTTCTTAAAAGTCTCCCTAGCGACAAAGAAAGAGACGTCTATGTATGTATGAGACATTCTTGGTCCGTTTTTCTTTGACTGTCTGCTGCAGTTGTGTCTATGTGCATGTTTGTATCTGAAAGTCTGAAGGAAAGGCAGCTGAATGATGCAAGAGAGTCCACGTTTACATTCCCCTGCTCTCAGAGCAATGTTTAAACTTCCTCCACTAATGAATAATTTACCGTCTTCAGACTGGGACCAGACAGAGGGGCAGTACGAGGAAAAATAATGAATAATACGTCATGTTTTCATGCCATGTCTTGAGATACACTATTCACCTTCAGCTTGGAAACTAGCAGTGGGGAAACCTTGCCTTTTTATCTCATAGCTGGTATACTGTTTGATTTAGGTGGAACAGCTGTGTCACTCCACAGCACCAGAAACCTTACACATTTGAGCTAATTTCCAGAAGAGCTGCCATGACAACGTTTTTCCGTTCAAACCAGGTGCTACAATAAAAAAATCTGGCAACCTTATCTGGATCGGATAACATTTAGAAATGCAGGTTATTCTTTATTTCAACCTTTAGACTTGAGGGATAGGAATGAAGAAGGTAAAACATTTTCGAAACTGTGATGACAATCGTTTGAATTCAAGATGTTGGGGGTAAAAAATAGAAATAAAAGCTATCTGTGGTTTTAAAAGTTCTTTTTCTAGTGTTCAAATGTTATTTGCAGATATCATGTGACCCAGGTCTGCCCCACACACCTCATCCGATGTATTTCAGCTGCTGCGAAGCAGATTAGCAGGGCCCAGGATGGTTTTTACATTACTGCTGGTTCCACTCAGAGAGACCATATGTTTCCACCTTAGGCGAGCGCTGTACTGCTGCACTCAGCACTTTTTTTAACAGTGTGCAGAGCGAGGACTATCACAGCGAACGCAGGCCACAAACAGAGAAATACAGTCTGCAGAATCTTCAGAGCGGCGAGCTGTAACACCCGACCAATAGTTTCCTCACTAATGTTTGCAATATTCATGGTGTGGAAAAACCTCTAAAACAGCAGTTTGATGATGCAAAACCCACATTAGCGAGACACTAATTAAACCTACCCTTATTTTCAGAAGGGGAAACCCTTTTGCCATATCGGTACAGACTTCTCTATTTGGGTATTTCACCTTGAAGAAGTGTTACACAGAGACACTCTTCATGTCCTTATTTCAAAGATGTCTGGGAAGAAATCCCCAGAGCCCACAGGCGGGGACAGTCCCCTTCCGGAGACTTTTTGTCTACAGCGAAGCCATCCTGTCAGACTGGAGATAAGCAGTGTGTGACAGAAAGCGAGCCATACACATTAATCCTGTTATGATACCTGCTTCCCGCTCTGGGACACGTAGTCCAAAACACAGCGAGGAGAGTTGCTCAAGGGCCGCTCTGTTTGACCACAACACTGAGCGCTTTCACAATTAAGGGCAGTTTGGTGGCCTGATACGTTGCAGTGTGACCAGCAGAGAGAGAGAGAGAGAGAGGGGGAGGGGGGAGGGGTAGAGAGGGATGCAGGGGAGGAAGGGTATCATCCTCTCTGCAGGTGAGGAGTGATGTCATCTCCTCCCGGTGCAAAGTGAGATGACAGGGAATCAATAGCAGTGTGTGCTCGGCATCCTAATCTGCACACACTTTAATATATACATCTAACACACACATACGCAGACACACACACACACACACCTGTCCAGACTTCGAGGTGACATTGTGTCAGCACCGGATGAGTCAGACAAATTGGCAGTCGGGGTTCAAACTAAGTTTTTGGCCAACCTTGATCAGGCTTTTTCCTAGATTGAGTGGAGCTTTCAGGAGCAAAGCAAGGCCAGAGTTAATGGCAGTGACCCAAAGCCTCTTTAAATGTAAGCGATCAGTCATAATGCTACGAAGGCGTAATGGACAAAGAGAAGGGAAGGAGAGAGGGAGGAGAAGCAGAGGGAGTGAAAGTGGATGACAGCGATGTAGGTGTGGGTTAGCCTCCCTCCTCTAACATTCATTATCGATAGGATCAAGGGGAGAGCAGACACCTTAGTGGGCGTGGGCAGTAAAGAGAGACAGCTGGAGGGCCTTTCATTGTCACTTATCAGTGCCCTCCTATGTGGCCTATACATCTGCTGTTATTGCCTACTTTAATTTACCAGCATTTCTTCCTAGCATTTTATTTTCTCCTTTTTCAATCTTTGCTGCTACTATTTCTTTTTGTCTTTGAAGTCATTTCCATTTGTTTCCCCCCCCCCCCCTCCCTTCTCATACCAGCCAACCACCCTCTTCCCAACCTTCCCTTCACCTGAACACGGCTGACCGCTCAACATCCATCACACAGGGACACAAACAAAACCGCCCGCCCATCCTGGACAACGATAACAGATTGCAGCAGAAGAGTCCTACGAGCAGAGGGAAGGGGGGAGGAAGAGAAGGTGAGGGAGGAAGACAGAGAGAGGTGGGCTGCAGGCATGTATGCCTTCATTACACTGTGGCCTTGATCATGGATGCCTTTGAGGGATGTAGATGTCAGAATACACCCACATACACGCAGCATGTGGGCACACTGGCTGCACACGCTGACAGGAGAGTGTTCATGGAAAGCTACAGAGGCTTTCAAAAAAGATCCTCTGCACGTATAGAGCGTCTGAACTGCACCTATACAAGATGACACAGTTATGTCACACTCGCGTACATCAGAGGAGTCCGCAACGCAACGGGTGCTAATTTAAGACCCAGACTTAGTCCGGGTGAAGCGAGCAGAACTGGGCTATGGGTGGAACCTGATTAAAAATACATCACAGGCTGTCTGCGCTGCTGAAACAGTGGGCACGAGTTCTGGGCCCCATTAGGAACACAGCGGCTGACTGACCTACATCTGCTGAGCCGAGCGGCGCAGCTAAACACATCTGCACGCAGGTGTCAGAAAACATCTCTCCTCACTCACCTTTCAACTATCCCTTAGAAATCTTCATGCATAGGAAATCAGTGGTGGATTGTAACTAAGGATTATCTACTTAAAGGTGGGGTAGGTAATTTTGGAGAAACCAGCTCGAGTGCGCTAGAATTTGAAAATACACAACCGGGAAACATCTGCCACTTCCTCACAGAGCCCCTCCTCCAACACACACGAACGCGCACATGACCAATGAGGGCACGAGATAAGTTTGTGCACAGATGGAAGGCTGACAGGCAGGTAGGCCATCCAGTTACTTTAGCCGGGCCGGCTCAGATGATTGGTCGTGCTTTTTACAGTACTACGGCTTCCACAGATGACATTTTTTTACGGATTTTTTGTCAAAGCACTTAAGATATTCATTGCTATCGGGATGTTAAGAGCATTCCATGGAATATAACAACAAGTGTATCTCGAGCCGGTTTCTCAAACGTACCTACCCCACCTTTAAGTACAGTAAAAGTATAGGTTTGAGGTACTTGTACTTCACTTGAGTATATTGATTATACTACTTCATACTTTTAATCCACTACATATTGGAGGCAAATGCATTTTGTATTACACTACATATATTCTATAGGCTAGTTACTTTGCAGATTTCGATTATTATAATGTAAATCTACTGCTCAAAAATAAAAAACCGTCCTTGTGATATGTATTGGAGTAGAAGAAGTATACAATCTAGATATTTAAGAACTGTACATAAATACATACACTTTTTACAACAATCCTTACTTTCCTTAAGTACATCAATACAGGACCTTTATCTCAAGGAGGGTTGTTCTTTGTATTGTGGTAATGCAGCTCTGGTAAACGTTGCAACACAGGTAACCTTAGCAATGTTTGCAACTTACTATAAGAATATAAACTTTATATAAGGTTGTTAAACACTTTGCTACTTCGAAGACATATTATAGAGTACACTTGGAGCTGCCCATGAAATCTTTCTCTTAGATCCCCTCCATCTTTTCTCTCCCTTCACATTTTCATCTGTATCTCAGTCCGTACAGCATGCTCTCTCGCTTTTCTTCTTTCTCACACATTTTCCTAAATGTCTTTGACCTTTTTTAACCTCTCTCTCTCTCTCCGCAGAAAGAATAAGAGCTGTCCTTGCTATGCCCACATATTCCTTCTCAAATGCCTTTCACACACAGAAGCAGAAATGTCATGGCCACTTCTTGGCCTCCTACTCAGAGTGGAGCCTTGAGCGGCTTTAGAGTGCTGCACACTCAATGGGGTAGAAATCACTATTATTGGCAATTTCTTAAGGGGCACATTACAGTAAATTGCCCACAGGTAGATAATCAAAAAGTAATGTACTGAAGGCATGTTTATATGAGAATAAAAAGCTGAAATTATTTTTGACATAAAGGTTGGAAAGATTTGGGTAAAAAATTAAATGGGTAATAAAAAACAATGTGGGATCATCATCACAGTTTACATGCTGTGTTCCTTGTGCATTGGCATCAATCTAATCAGTAAATCAGTGAAGAATCAATGAACCCACCATCCGGACATGGTGAAGTCACGGTACAGCATCCTCTTCCCCACCTCCTTTTTCTGGACTCTCCTCGGGAACTCCAGATGTGTAAACTCGTTCCCTAATAAGTGGGGCTGCATGTAGGCCTTGATATGAAAAAGAAAAAACAGAAAAAGAAAATTGACATGCCCACGGGATAGGAAAAACAATTCCATAGTCTATTAAGCAGACAAAGAGAGCAGGCAGTGTAAGAGACAGAGGAGGGGAGGTCAGCTCTGCTAATATCTGACAGCTGTGCTCACTAGGAAGGAGCAGAAAAAGGTTATTTCTTACCAGGAACTGCAGTCGCTGTCTCTCTGACTCGGGCGTGAACTCTGCTGACATGGGGATGACTTCCCCTGCCCGGATAATGATAGCTCTGAGGAAGAGGGGGAGACAAAACAAAACTGTGTTTATGTGAGGCGGGACACTGTTGCTCCTCCTGGCTGCAGGGCACGACAAGGTGACCGACAAAAGAGATACTGCCATTGTGTGTCATAGAAAAGTTCCCCTTCATTTGCGCATGTGTATCTCACCTGCTGTCCCCAGCGTTAGCAACGTAGAGCTTCCCGAGCATATAGACGACCGCCAGAGCAGTGCAGCCCCCTGAGATGTTGTAGACGGCCTTCTCCTTCTCTATTTGCACATCCTAAATACAAACACACATACAAATGAATCCTCTGATGAGGTCACAACCACATCCTCTGCAATGCAATCATGTTTCTAATCATAACAGACAACAAAAACGTTTTCCTATCACGCTGTGGCACAAAGAACCTCATTCCGAATCAAATAATGCCAGAATACTTAAAAAACACCATGATACCATTATCAATTATAGCCCCAGAATGAATTCATCCATCAAAAGCACCATAAGTCAAGAAGCAATAAAAAAACAAGAATGGAAACCAAAAGGATAGGAACGAAAGTTAGGAGGGACCGCTGGTTATTACACCAGTTAATTAGCCCATATTAATTTGTTGCTAATTAAACAAAAAAAATGATTTTAAAAATCCCATGCTAACAGTTCATTAATTAGATGAATGATTAACCTGTCAGCGAATTAATCAAAATGCCAACATACATTTGAACCAAGCTGCTCACACTTGGTTTAACCCTTTAATGTTGCTATACTGAGAGGTCTTCAAGTTATCTCGAGAAAATGGACGTCCCCTTCGCCTTCCTCGAATCCCTCCGTCACCTTCCACACAGTGAGCGGGAAGAAAGATGTTGGCAAACACATTTGCAGCGAGGCCTTCCCTAACATGTCATCCCAAGAGGAATGCTAAACCAACAAAAGCATGTCGCCTTCTGCTCCACTGCAGACGACCTCCATCTGATTACAACTGTGAATGTGTGTGTTTTTGTAGTGTATGCGTTTCTCTGACAGGAGACAGGAATGCATGTGTGTGTAGAAGGTTTTGCATGTGTGTGCATAAACCAGATATATGTATGACTTTGAATTTGAGTGTTTTGTATTTTATGAAGACTTCTTGGACAGAAGTAGCAGGGTTTTTTGGGGTGTGTGTTGGGAAGGGGGGAACAAATGTGTCCTTCACCCTGAATTAATTATAAATCCATTGCGAACCATACATATTTATTCTCCCTGTATTCAATACGTTTTGCTGCAGGCAAAGTCTTCAATAATGAAAGTGCCTGCATAAACATCTACACTTTTCTCCTCTCCACTTCCGCAAGGAAACGTCTGACAACTGAGCGAAATAACCGGAAGGCAGATAGGCTAAATGTGTTCTTCCCTTCTTCAAATGTAATATATACATATTGAAAATCTAATCTAAGGACAACCTAATTACATATTAGGAACGACTTGCCCCTCCAGGTTAGACTTCGTCCAACTCTGCCTGTTTTTAAATCTCGTTTAAAAACCCACTTCTTTTCCCTGGCATTTACAGGCCAGGTCACACTTCTGCTTTTACATTTGGGTTTTTATCTGTTGTGTTTTGTATTGTTTTTAAGTGATGTAGGAGAGTTTCTCAGTCTGTGGTTTCTGATCTGGTTTCATTGTCTCGTGTTTTAAATTTGTTTCATTTCCTGTCTGTTTTTATGTATTTATGCTATGTTTGTATACAGTTGTTGATGTCAACTCTGTTGTTTTTAAATGTGCTATAGAAATAAAATGGATTGGATATAGTCAAATAATTATACTCCACTAAAACCCAATTGAATTTTTTAAAAGCAGTGACACATCAAAGTATACTTAAAAAACAGACCAAAAAGTATTGAGCAGCACATAACAGAACCTCGAGAACACACTTCATACACAGAAAGACCACATGAACACCTCTCATCCAAACAACCAATCATGTAGTTTGTTAATGACCTTTTATGAACATCCTAAAAGACCGCTAAGTTATGTGTTTGACCATTTAAGAAAACATATTTCAATACAATTGACATAATAAGGTTTCATAGATACAGTAGTTAGTAGCTATGTTATTCAACATATTGTCATGAAGGCCATTATCTTCACAGCAAAGTTCAAAAAAGCTTTCTCGCTGAACAAGATGGTTTGACTTTATTGGTAAAAGCTGGGTTGAGTCACTGTTCTACCTATGAGCTACAGGTCAGGCCAAAGACTTCCTGATGCATTGTTATGTGTTGAATCAATGAGAGCCTGAAGCTACTAGGCCAGGAAAAGATAACAGAGAGCAGAGCTGGCAGAGAAACATGTGAAACATCAGATATGATGGATAACTCTGATGATGGACTGTGAGACAGGTCATTAAGGGAATTAATCATTTTAACTGATTAGTTAAATTAGTGGCACATCAGTTGTTTTTCAGGGCAAGCAGGACCTTTGGGCTAATTCTTCTGCCAAGGCTCCTTTAATATAGAGTATTAATAACCCGCTGAAACACAGTCACACAGTCACACACCTGGTGATAACCCACTTCGCATCGAATAAGATCTGAGATACTAAATATCAATAAATATAGAAAGATTATGGATGGTTAAACTACTCTTGATGACTCCTGACTAACACAGAAATGTTGAAACATTATATTGAGTAACCTTCATTTCCTGAAGTCGTATCTCATGCTCAAATAAAAAGTTTAACATTTTGGGAAATACACATTCTGTCTGCGCGAGAGAAGATCAATAACATTGAGGTCTGTGGCTCAAGCAGGTAGCTTAGCGTAGCATACTGTAAGTAGAAGTAGGATTCAAGCCTGGGTCTTTTTAGTGTTCATAAATATGCCCATAATAAGTCTCAAGGTAACTTGATATAGTTTGTGATTTTGAGAAGTAATCTTTTTGGCTTTCTTGTCAAGAGTAAGATGGGAAAATGAATGTGACAAATTATATTACCACAGGCAGGAAGTTAGCCTAGCTTGGCTGGCTCTGTCTTAAGATAACTAAATATGCCCAACAGCATGGTGTGAACAGTTGTCGTTTTTACAAAGAGTTGCATGAGTATTTCATCGCCTGTTTTTCTGTAGTCTCCACTTTTTTTATACAGAATATACAAACAAGATTTGTCATACTTAATACTGAGCTTAAAGGCTAGTCATGCTAGCTGTTTTCCTGGCACTACTATGTGGCTAGTGAAAACAAAAAAAAAAGCCAAGTAGTACATTTCCCCAAAATGTTAAATTAATGCTCACATCATTATGAAAGTCCTAAAATACTGAGATAGTGATTAAATCTCAGTACCTGAGAATGCACGTACCAATGCCACAAATACATGTTTTAAACTAAATTTGGCTAGTGATGTCATCTCCTCGTTTTCTGTAACCAACAGCTTGACTTAAAAGCCTTTGTCTCGGAGCTACAAGACGTTGTTTTTGATGTTTACACATCCCTGAGTGTTTATCGGCTTACACACACACACACACACACACACACACACACACACACACACACACACACACACACACACACACACACACACACACACCGGCCGCTCCCACAGGAATGCAGTGAGTCGTGTCAGAGGAGAATTAAAGGCGGATCCTTCTGATAAGATACAGAGACTCTGTGAGTGTCTGTAAGACAAAGATTAAGAGTCATACCAAACCTTCCCAAATGTTGCTGACACTTCCTTTTATCGTAAAGAATGAGCTTTATTAGACCTTGTTAAGACTGGAGGACTTTGGGGGGGAGATTATGACAAAATTGACTTTTTGGTAGCAACTTATCAACAGTTCTTCTAAGATTCATTGTGTACCATGTGAATGTGATTGCATCTAATACATAAAAAATGATTACTTACGAGGAAAGTAGATATGGTTATTTCAGGTGGTTATAGCCTACCCTTATTTTCTCATCTCTGGTCTCTGAATACAATACGTAACGCACTATGAATGCAATCAACTGGAAATCCATTCTACATGTATATGCTTTAATACATAGCTTCCTGAAGAAACCCTCTAGACTACTGTTAGATAGTTGTGTAGCTTCAGTGCTTCGTGGACACAGTGACATCAACTGCAATGTTTGAAATTGTGGATTTTCCTTTAAGAAAGAGAGAGGACACGGAGGGTAAAGAGTGCAGACTCAGAGCCAGAGAGACACGTGAGAGTGAGACGGGAAGCAGAGTGAGACATAGATGTTTGCTGATTGCTGGGAGATGTGGACAGACATGTCTCTGACAACGAAAAAGATAAAGAGAGTAGAGCAGCAAAGAAACATTTTAGAGACAGATTATGCACCAACTTCATAGTGTAAAGCTGGATCATCATTTCTAAATCCTGCCATAGGACATAAAGAAATGTGTAACTGTATTTCACAAAACCCAATCCTTGTGACTGGGTGAAAAAAAAAACCTCATCATTAACCAGATGACTCCTTTTTACATTGATTAACTGATCCTTATACAATCATTAAGTACACCTACACAAGCCATACGTGCCCCAATACAAATGTTCCTCTTTAATGGCCAAGACGTTTGGTAAGAACAGGTGATTGCACACTACCACCTAGTGGTAAAGATGTGTAAACACCAGCTGTACTGAGAAATGGATTTTGTATTGAGCTGCACTGCCCTCTATCAAGCTAACATTGTACCTCCCCAAATGATCTCACCTATCACACATGTTTTAAAGACGTTGTGCTCTGCAGACCTGGGTCAAGCATTAGTGGAAGATCAATTAGTGTCTATATTACTCCTTTTAATCATTTTGTGCAATCTGTAATATATTTGATTGAAGTCTATGTGTATAGGTATTTGATTAACTCTTGTTTTAATCACATGGTTATGCTAGAATAGGCTATTTGTACATTAACAAACAATTTGTCTTTCATTTGGAGAGGAGCGTTTTGTCTCTTAATGTCTTTCCTTTTTGTAAAGCACTTTGAATTGCCTTGTGTTGAAAGGTTCTATATAAATAAACTTGCATTTCCTTCGGTTGTAAACAACAATTCAAGTTGTTTACTTGTTTATATTTACTCTCAGGCACTGTGCCATAGCAAACTATGATTTACTAAATGTTAAACCACAGGGATTTAAAGAGAAGGAGAGTGACTTTTAATCTCTCAAAATCTTTCTCAACCCAGGCCTGCTCTGTTTTCATTGGCTCTGGTCTCAATCTCTTGGCCTCTGCATGAGGAAAGTTTCCGGAATCCACTTAAAGCAAGGCCAGGTGGCTTGTGTGTGTTATCTGACTGACTGCCTTCACACTGCTGGTCTGACATCAAATCTATTTCTTGGGTATTACATGTTCATACTTTAATGTGGGTTTGATTGCTGTAATAACAATTAGACAATCATGTTTGGTTTGATATATACTTTCAGGTTTTTGAAGTCCTGGCCCCAAAACTCTGGAACAATTTACCAGCTGAGATTAGGCTTGCTCAATATATCAGCGCTTTTGAATCTCTTCTTAAAACATCATTAGGAATTTCATGTCAATTGATGTATTCACCTATATGATATCTTATTATTTATAGTGTTTGTATCTATTGTAAAGCACTTTTTAACACTGTGAGGAAACATGCTATGTAAATTAGGTTTATTTTATATTATCCAGTGTTTCCCATACATTGATTTATGTACAATTAAATATCGTCCGCGACAAAAAGATCTTTCTTTTAATTTTTTTTTTTTTTTGGTGGTCTAATGGATAGTGGGAAACACTGTTATCATTAGTTTATGTTTTTATTTGTATTCTGAAAAAACACAACAGAGAGGTTTAGTTTAATTGGTGTTTTTTGTTTTGATATATATTTGTTTACCAAAAGAGTAAAATAAATGGAAATAATAATAAGGGATAGGGATTTTAAATTCTCATAAAATANATAAATCATACCCTCGTGGGGGCGCGCTCATGTGATAGAATGAAGGAGACATCTGATTGGCTATAGATAGAAAAAATTACAAGTACGAATCCGCTGACCGTCAGGGGAGTCTCAAAAAACCCACACAGGAATGCACAGCGATCCATGCAGAGAAAGCAGTTTGCAGGTTCAGAGGTTTTAAACGGAAAACAAATATGTGTGGCTAAAAAATACACATTTAAAACTTTTTTCTGTATTTGGATTTCATTACATGTATATTAATCGGAACACATTTGTGTGTGCATTGAAAAACACAAGTGTGGATCCGGAAATACAAGTGTGAGTCATTCTGTGTGCATGTGTGTATTATGAGACTGTTCTGAGCCCATAGAAAACTGAGCAAACCGCAAACTGTCCAAACATGAGATGCATTTGAAAACCACAATCTGTAATGCTCCATTTAGGATGCAGAAAAAAAAGAGGAAAGTATGTGTTTGCACAAATGACATCTGCGGAGTGGTTTTTGCTTTTGTGTTATTGTCTTTATCAGTGACGAGGTTTGTAAAGTGGTGCTGTTGATGTTTTTTAAAACATGGTTTAATACATAAGACTATAAAATGTAGGATAGTGATTGCAATTTTCCAGACCCCAAAATAAAGTCCAATCAACACTACAAAGTAAAAGGATATTCATTGTTTATTTAAATTATAATAGCATGAGAAACCGGAACCATCTTATATTTGACATTATTTGTCGCAAATTATTGTTGATAATTGTGTTTCACCACATGATGGATAGAAAGTGAGCTTCTTTCTATACTTATATAAGCAATGTGGGTTCATTACAATAGTTGGGTAGCTGTGCTGTCAAATGCAGTGTTTACTCTGAATAGCACACTCCCTGTCGTATTGACACACGACAGGGAGTGTGCTATTTTTAGTTTTCAGGACACGGATGCGGTGAATAGGCCATTGTGTAAGACTCCAATTAAAATCAATCATACTGAGAAAAGGTCTGCTCAGTCCACACCCTGACGGTTTTACAACCAGCAGTGTTTCCTTAGCTGGAGACGGAGGATCTCTGCAGCTTCATGACCAATTAGGATTATTAATGTAGGATCCTCCGCAGGGAAGAAATCATGACTAACTCTCACATCAACGTGTAGCCATAGAATGTCTGATTTATTTTTATATTATTCATACTCAAGGCATTGCTTAATGAAATATAGACATGCTACCAGTCTCTACGTAGTATCTCTAGACAATTGATTGTTGAAGTAAAACAGGAAATAATTCCACAAATATACACTTTCCAACAGAATAATACTTTTTGTTTCTGCATGCCCCCTTGTCTATCTGTCGTCCTCTACTCTAATTTAAAAAAATACCACATTCTCAGTTTTAATAGGGCCACTGCAGTACTATAAATGATGGTGTGTAGATTGCCTGGAGCATTATTTAGCAACATGTGCTTGTCCACAACCACAACAGCAGCTCTCAGCAGTGAACAACCTAGGTGTCACAGTATGCAGTATGTATGTGCTTTTTCTGTCCTCTCACATGTGTAGGTCTCAAACTGAGATGTATATGCAAATGGTGTATATTTGACTATTTTACTGTGCAGTCATCATTTATCGTAAAAAAAGAACTGCTGTTATAAAGGAGAAACTTGACATTGAAGACCTAAAATAAACAAATAAATGAGTGTATCATCTAGCGAGCACCAAGTACCACCTGAGAAAATAGTTGGCTCTCCGAGTACCACCCTATGACCAATGTTAAAAAAATACAGTCTATGCACAGTTCATGCAGGACTCGGAGGCAAATGTATTCATAATAACATCATTTATTGTCAGCCACAGCTACATGTACAAAGGGCAGTCTCTCTCTCTCTCTCTCTCTCTCTCTCTCTCTCTCTCTCTCTCTCTTATCACTCGCTCACTCACACACCACAAGTGAGAATATAAACAACAAAATAATAACTTGTACTCACACAACAAATGTCAGCTGTACACACATGTCATTTCCTGGACCTATACCAAAGTGTGAATGTAGGCCGGCTGCAACAACCTACATCGTAACAGAAAATGTCCTTTTGGGAATTCAGTCCACAATAATAATGAAAGCCTCCAGGAGCAAATGAGCCTAAGGGCTAATAGCTCATCTTCAGTCTGCTGATGTTTGCTATTGCCATTTCTGTGGTGGCAAAGTAAAAAAGATAACAATTAAGGACAAGTGTGTGCTTTTTCAACTTTTGACCTCGGTCACAGCCTTCTCTCCATTCTTTGAGCAAATGCCTTCTTCCTGAGTCTCTTCTCTCCTCCATCACAGCGGCTGTGCATATCACTTTTGCTTCGCTGGCGGAGCCTGCGCTTGTGCTCGATTGATGACTGTCCTCCTCCTCATTCACTTGTTCACTTTCGCTGCTAATATTCTTCTCGCGGGTAGTATGGTCGTCATTAGCAACTCCAGAAATACATTTAAAAAATGTTTTCGTTTCTAAATCTAAAAACAACAATAGTCTATTAGAACTTATTTAAACCACAGTTTCAATTATCTCAAGCTTGTTTTCATTCGTTGTAGTGTTTTGATGATATGATTTATTTTGTAATTAATGTTATTCAATCAAGCCTCAAACTGATGGCACTTGTCCCAATAGCCTGTTTTACATTGAAGTTGTCTGAGGTCCTTACCACCAGCTGCTCTTGCAGTAATAAGTACCTTAATGTCCCAAATGTGCACAATGTAGTGACTGCTTTTCGTCTTTTTGTTTACTTGGTTGTGTTTTCAGTATTTTATATGTCTGTGTTATGTGTAAAGGTTAAATACAATAAAAAAATTAATATATTTTGTTTATGTCAGATTCCTCCGCGTACCACTAGCGGGAGCCGTACCTCAGGTTGAGAACCACTGGTTTAGAGCATGACACAGCTGCTCCTGAACTGTTTTTCAGATAGAAGGGAGTGCTTGAAATGACGGGAGTGGAGATGACAAGTGATCTTCTTGGAAATAGTTCATCCCTCAGACTTCCCTCCCTCAGGCTCTGTAGGGAGTATCCCTCCCTGATTTAAACTTCCTTTGAGTCATCGTCCCCACTGGATTGCATGACATTTTCTCCCCCATGTACCCTTAGATTTTGAAATTGTTTTCCACTCCAGAGAAGCACACAAGTGACCCACGATCCTCACTGACTAACCTTTCATACATTGTAACCATGATTGTAACGTTTTAAGGGCAGCTTTGCTAAAAGAAAACATGCCTGTTAGGTCCAGCTTGCTGATGGCATTATTTTGCACTTTTGCATCTTCTAATTTGTATTGAACTGTTTCTCAAAAGTGAAGAGGGACTGAGAGTATTTGATTCTCTTTCTGCCCTTTCAGTTTTCCATGGTTAAACCATAGTGTTGTGATTTGTTCTCACTGTACGAAACATTGTTTTAATGTTTCAACAAACCTTCCTTACAAATTGGCATTTATTTTTAAGAACTTTCGACAACCCAAATACATAAAATACCATTTAAAGGCAAAGAGCAATCCTCTCAGTCATCTGAACAAGCTTTAGCAGCAAGAGATTGTACATTTTTAAACCGACCTATGTTTTTATCTTGAATAGTAGACATACCAAGCCCTCATTTTGCAGTGCAAGATTATCGGATTTGCGATCGAAGTTATCTATACAGTATTGTTATGTTTACAGTGCATTGTATAGTAATTTTAATGCAATTTCTTAAATAATCTAATTTATTTTTCATGTCATTGATTGATTTAAAAAAAATATATATTCTTATCCGAGTTGTCCTTAAAATGAAGTATGTCTCACCTTCCCTTGTTGTGTTCTGTTATCCCCTCTCTATCTAGGGTGATCAATGCAGGAAAGAGTGCGTTGAATGAGGACCAGGCCTGCTGCGAGGTGTTGGTGGTCAAACGGAGACCCTCAGGATGCTCCACACCCAACCGGACCTCCCTGGCCCGCAGGAGGTCTTCCCTGCCAAACGGAGAGGGTCTGAGCCCCCGGGACTGCAATGTGAGTCGAACTAAAACGTCTGTTTCCAAATAACAAATATCCTCCTTTCCATCATCTTTCACTGGGATCACATTTTTGTTTTACTTTTATGTACGCACCACGACATCAAGTCAAAATCCTCGTATGTGTCAACCTACCTGGTAATAAACCTGTTTCTGATTTTAACATAACAGGAATTCATGAGATAAAACTTGAGGACAAATGCACATTTTCTGAGCCATCTTTTTGATATCTTGTTAATACTGTACATAGACTAAGATCCTTGACGTTCAAGCATTTGTTCACCCATGAAATCCAGGTAATGGTGGCTGTAGTCCTTGCTGTTGGGACGCAGTGTTCCCTCATCCCGTCCCATCAGCAGTTTATTGGTGCGTACAGCACAGCGTCCTTTACACATCACAGCCTCGGTCTTCAGCTCTCAACAGCCAGGTGAAAGCAAGTAAAGCTTTTAAGTTAGACCAAAAACCATATATACAAAGGTATTGTGAATTATAAACTAGCACTGTTTTTGACACACTCTATCCAGCTACTGACAATGGCTACTCGGTCAATTTTCTGATACTAACCTGAAAAAGCGTAGAAATAACTGAACACTGATCTCCTGTTGTTCGATTTGTCTTCCGGGTTCGACATGCACTGTTTTCCCTCACTGTCCTTTATCTCTAACCGGTTATACTGAGCACTTTGTCATTTCATTTTCCACAGGCAAAAGATATCTATATTAGGTAATACTGCAGATAACATGTCCCCTTAGCCCACCAGTACTTTACTTAGACCCAGCCAGAGCCTACAGCAAACTCATGCAAGTACCTCATGACTCACTACTGCAGAGGTACTGGACCACAACGAGTCAAGCCTTTCTAGTGCTATTTGCTTGCTTCATCGGCTCATGTTGTAGCATCAGCTTGCACTACTGTGTATTTAGAAAATAATAATAATACATGAGACTTGTATAGCGCTTTTCAAGAAACTCAAAGACGCTTTGACAGAGAATAAAAACAACAACAAACAAAACAAAGAAAAAGAGATAAACAAAACAGAAAATAGGGGGGGGGGTCAGTGGTTGAATGCAGTGTTGAACAGGTGGGTTTTGAGTGATGTTTTGAATGCGGTGAGGGAGGAAGAATCTCTGATGGATTGGGGTAGTGAGTTCCAGAGGATGGGTGCAGCAACGGAGAAGGCTCTGTCGCCCCAAGACTTGAGGTTGGTCCGAGTGGGGAGGGACAGGAGGTTGGCAGTGGCAGAGCGGAGGGAGCGAGTGGGAGAGTGTCTGTGGAGGAGGTCAGTCAGGTAGGATGGGGTCAGGCTATGGAGGGCTTTGTATGTCATCAGGAGGATTTTGTACTGAATTCTCTGGGGGATGGGGAGCCAGTGGAGCTTGATGAGGACGGGGGTGATGTGTTCACGGATTCGGGTGTGGGTGAGTAGACGGGCGGCGGAGTTCTGGATGTATTCTGCAGGTGAACCATAGAGGAGGAGGCTGTTGCAATAGTCCAACAATCAAAGCTTTTGTTCTTGCAATGATCAACACTCACACAAAAATGCAGCATAAACCCTTCCCATGCAGAGGAAGTCTATTCCTCCTCACTTACATATGTGTGTTAAGGCCTCGTGAGATGTGTGCAATAGCAACTCTATGTCCAGACTTTCATTACGTGTGATTTATTAGTTAAAAGAGAGTCAAGTATCCGAACAGACGGGAAAAAGCATGGCCCTTTGCTCCAGGAGGAGGGCTGAAGATCATAGAGTTGTTGCATTTCTTAAAGCATTCCTATTGAACTCCTACAATATTTAATCCCATTTTATTATTTCAATGGCCTTTATGCTTGAACTTTGGATAATGTGTTAAGCCCTAAACACCTGGACCATGCAGTTTCTGTTGTGGCAGCTGTACTCGGGGCTAAAGTCTTTCGAACATCTTCTTGAACAAGGCTTTTTATATTTCTGGTCACTGATATTACATTACATTTCATTTGTTAGACGCTTTTATCCAAAGCAACTTACATACATTCAGTACTGTGGACAATCCCCAATGTTGGGGTGAAGTGTCTTGCCCAGGGACACAACGACATGCTGACTGCAGTGGGGCTTGAACTTGCTATCCCCTGATTCGAAGTCCAGCACACTATCCACTAAGCCACAGCCTCCATATACTGTATGTGTAGATCCCAACCTATTTGGGTTGTGGCCTTTTACCCATCATCAATGTGTTACCCTGCCTAAGGTTGTATTATACGGTTCATCCTTTCAAGTAAGGAACCACAGCAGTACATCATAATGTTGTAAGGATAAAGAATTACATTATAATCTTTTATCATTTTGGATGATGAGTCATTACTTTTCATTCCTTTTGATAACAAGAAATATACTCATTCAAACCACTCCTTGGAGTTATCAGAAACTTGATGTAATTGTTGTCCAAGCATTCATTTAGAAATGCTAATTGAACCTTGACATATTTGATTGGCTGTTATCATTTTCTGACAGTAAGGTATATTATTAAGGAACCATGTGATGACCCTTTCTGGTGACTATAAAAACACGGCTAGTATTCTCAACTGACAGACATAATGATCATTCACACACTGGATGAGGTTGCTTTATTAAACTAAAAATGAATTTCCAGTGTTTAGTTAGTTGATGAGGGTGAATGAAGGTCTTACCAAACTCCTCCACCCACTCCTTCATTGACCTAAGTGCTCAACGTGTCACTGTCTAATGTTTGTCTGACCCTTACCTGTCTCCAGGACAGCTCTGAAGAGTTAACGCTCCACTACTGGGCGATGTTCGATGGCCACGCGGGCTCCGGGGTGGCTGTGATGGCTTCCCGCCTCCTGCATCACCACGTGGCCCTGCACCTTCAGGAGGTGTTGGAGATCATCTGCACTCCCAACCTGCTGCCCCCTACGTGCCTGGGGGAGGAGCCTATCAATCACCACCTCACCCCGACGTCCCAGCGCGCCCTCACCCGGGCCGCCTCGCTCCGCGGCGCCGCAGGGGCTCCGGGCTCACCCAGCAACCCCCCCACACGCTTCTTTACGGAGAAGAAGGTTTCACACGAGAGCCTGGTGGTCGGAGCCATCGAGAACGCTTTCAAAGACATGGTAAGAGGCGTGTGTGAAGTACAAGTCTCAAAGTGTTTAATAGTACGTGTTGACCTTTCAATGTGCAGTGAAAATACCACACATGGATGTTGTAGAGACTTTCCCTTGCTGCTTTAGATAGTGAATTCCTATAATTCCCAGAATAACATTGGACTTCCCCCTGTCAAATCGCCGGGAGTAGTTACTTCCATCTATGGTTTTATGTGTATATGAAGAGAAAGGCTAGTCCTGTCCCTTTTCCCAAAGCATAAATCAAAGCTTCCCATCTGCTTTGCTTGAAAACAGCTAGTTGTTGCACAATGAAATAAATCCATTGCTAATTGCGATCCTCTGATTACAAAAACGGTAGTGTTAATCTGGTATAGACTGTTGCAACATGTTTTTAAATAATTTTCTCAACAACTTAAAACCAGTGAAATTACACTCCAAACTATCCATTTATCTATTTTATGAGAATTTAAAATCCCTATCCCTTATTATTATTTCCATTTATTTTACTCTTTTGGTAAACAAATATATATCAAAACAAAAAACACCAATTAAACTAAACCTCTCTGTTGTGTTTTTTCAGAATACAAATAAAAACATAAACTAATGATAACAGTGTTTCCCACAGAATTTGATTCTATTTGTTCTTTTTGCTCTGTGTTGCGTTGTTAATGAGTGAAACACACCGGAGTTGAGGATCTGTGGGGTTTATTCTCCCAAAAATATAATTTACAATCTACAATTTAGGCATGTAGCAGACGCATTATTCCAAAGCGATTTACAATGACCAATTACAGGGACATTCTCCCTGGAGTAACCGAGGGCTAAGGGCCTTGCTCAAGGGCACACTAGTAGTCATGTTCCAGGCAGGATTTGAACTCGCAGCCTTCCGATCATCAGCCCACTTCACTATCCATTAGACCACCAAAAAAATTAAAAGAACGATCGTTTTGTGGTGGACGATATTTAATTGNTTACATTCTTAGGTCATGTTGTGAAAACTATGGGCTCAGAACAGTCTCATTGCGGATCATGAAATACAAGTGTGAATCCTTCTGTGTGCATGTGTGTATTATGAGACTGTTCTGAGCCCATAGTTTTCACAACATGACCTAAGAATGTAACCTGTATGGGTGTCAACAGTGCGAACTACATCCACTGTTAAAAAACGTGGTTGAAACTCACAGAAAAGTATAATATATGCACACATTTGTCTGTCAAACTGGTATTTCTAATATCAGGAATATCCTCTTACACTCAATTGTTGGACATTGGGATGACTGCACTTTAATATAATTGTTGCTTAATTAGTCACTACAGTTTTAGAGAAAACATGGCATTTAAAACAAAGTGTTATTCTGAATTGCTGCAAATGTTCCAGGTAGCATTTGGTTTCAGTTTGTGCCACAACTCTCAAATTGTGCACATAGTTAGATTTTTTTATTCAACCTTAAAATCAGTTTATGAAATCATGTAGTCAGGAAAATGANCATCTGATTGGCTATAGATAGAAAAAATTACAAGTACGAATCGGCTGACCGTCAGGGGAGTCTCAAAAAACCCACACACGAATGCACAGCGATTCGTGCACAGAAAGCGGTTTGTGTTTGCAGGTTCAGGCGATTTAAACGGAAAACAAATATGTGAGGAAAAAAAATATGTAAAACTTTTTTCTGTATTTGGATTTTATTTACATGTATATAAAACGGAACACATTTGTGTGTGCATTGAAAAACAGAAGTGTGGATCCGGAAATACAAGTGTGAATCCTTTTGCGGATCATGAAATACAAGTGTGAATCCTTCTGTGTGCATGTGTGTATTATGAGACTGTTCTGAGCCCATAGTTTTCACAATATGACCTAAGAATGTAACCTGTATGGGTGTCAACAGTGCGAACTAGTTTTAGAGAAAACATGGCATTTAAAACAAAGTGTTATTCTAAATTTCTGCAAATGTTCCAGGTAGCATTTGGTTTCAGTTTGTGCCACAACTCTCAAATTGTGCACATAGTTTGATTTTTTTATTCAACCTTAAAATCAGTTTATGAAATCATGTAGTCAGGAAAATGACCAACAGTAATGTAGGTATACAGTGTATGTGTAGTTTACGTGTTCCTCTCCTAACTTGATGATGGAAAGAGGCCACACACTTCATCATGCATGTCTGAGACCAAAGCACAGCAGGGAGCCATGTTCCTTTGACCTCAGTCGATCACAAGATTACAGATGAGCCGTCGATCCCTTCATCTCCGATACGAGAGGGAGAGCCTTCCAGACCCCGAGGCAGGAGCAGGGCTGTCCGACTCAGTTACCTCGTTTCATTTCTTCACGTCTGAGACATCACTTCACGTCTGAGACAATGACACGACCTTAATTACTCTGTCAGAGTCGTAACCTACATTGTGCATGCATTCTGGGAATCTCTTTCTTTTCAGTAACACTTGACCTGAAGATTTACTGCATCAGTCAGCAACAGGTCATATATGTGATGTGAATGTGTTACCTGTGTTTCCTTCATGTTTAACCGAATGAGCATTTCATGAATAACTTTGCAAAAATAACAGATTATTTGGCAATTGGATGACATTTTTTGAAACTAGATTCTTGCTTTTTTTCTGGATCATCTTTCTTCTTGCACAACTAAACGCACACATTAGTGATGCCAAGTTCTCAGAGAATTCTGACCTGAGGGCAACTACACACTGTTTCCAAAACACAGGTTATTATCGTTAACTATTGAAACAATGCATTACCTCATATGTAACTGATACTCCTCCGGCACTTCAATGTATATTTTGTGGATTTATTGTAAATTCTCAAGCTTATCTTTGAAAACAATATTACTGCATTTTACTTTTAAAGAGGCCCTATTATGCTTTCTGGGGTTTCCCTCTCCTGTAGTTTGTAGACAGATTGGTAATGCATGTAAAAGGTCTGCTAAGGCCCTTTGCTCCGCCCTCCAGAGGGATTTTCTCTTTCACACACTTCCTGTTTACACTCATGCTTCTATTGTCTAGCACTCCGATGCTAGACATTGTACGTGATAGGCTAAGGGCGAAGTCCATCTATAAGGTTTGACCAATCACAGCACAGTCGGCCAGCTAACCAATCAGAGCAGACTGGGCTCTGGTTTCAGACAAAGGGTGAAAAGAGGTGCTGCAGCACAGACAGTATGAGAGAAATGAAGACCTTTTTGAACATTAAAACATGGAGAAATGTCACAGAAGAGGAACAAAATACAAAAATGAACCAGAAAATAAGCATAATATGTCCTCCTTCAATTCTGTATTCTTCAAGTTACTGGTTTCCTAGTTGTGTGGTTGTATACTCTTGCAACATCTCAGTATCCTCCAGCGCATCATGTAAGATACCTATAAAGATGATCCATGTGATTATAGCATTCTCTTTCAATGGTAACTCGTATTTAAACTACACGTTAGGGCTAAGTGGCACTGAACTGAAACAGCATTACGTCTTTTCTGCCTCAAAGCGATGTGGCGTGTTGATGTAGCAGAAACACAAAAACATGTGCTGTATCATGTGATTGAGCACTGGGAAGCTTTATACATAAAGAGGGCTGCTCATGTGCTTCCTCTCCACAGTTGAGTGGTAACATTGACTTCATTTAGCTCCTCTAGAGTGAAACACTACCAGGAACAAAGAAATGGATTGACCTACTGTACGATTAAAACAGAGAAGGACATGAAGACATGCATATTAATAGCTTTTATGTTCAACCCTTCGCTATATTGTAAATCCATGACCAATGTTAAGCAGGAGCTTTTATTTATTTTCACTTAGAGAATGTCAAACTACAGTCTTCATACCCTCTCACTGTGAAGCTTACCTGCAGACAAAACATAAAGTGAGCAGTGGTGATGCTATAGTGTTTAGCCTACAAACCCGCATGTTGATTAAGTATTGATGAGACCGCCGCCGAGGTTTCAGGATTATATTGGTCCTGGGTCAGAAAGAGTAAGTGAATAAGTGAATGGCTGGGAAAGCTTTGTCACAACTTATTATTTGACCTCTTAGTGCCACCACTGCTCCAACAACCATGTTGGATGTGGTAAATAGGAAAGACAAAGAGGAGAAGGGGAGCTGAGGTGAATCCTATTTAGATACACTATTAAATCTCTAATATTGATAACATGATTTAACCGTTCAGGGTATATGCAGGAATCCTGAAGTCAAATGTAAAACCTTTTAAGACCCTTTCCATACATTTTAAGACCTCATCGCCACTTTGAGTTTTAACCGGTTACATTGGAGACACACTTTACCTCACATTGACTACATACAGTATTGATTGTCCTTCCTCCTCATCTTCCAACCATTTGGACGCAGACTTGCATTTCCCCATAACGATGTTGTTTAACAACCGGCGTAAACGGACCTTCGCACGCTATCAAGCAGTGAGCGTGCGATGTCCTGTTCAGATGACGTCCAATCCAACGGGAGGCCATAAATAAACTACACAGAATCACACTACACACATACGCAATGATTACATTCAGGCAGACTGTAGAATACAACCTCTTTGGACAATTTATATACTTATTGAAAACAAGCTACAAAATGTAATACCTTGGAAAAAGCCGTTTAATACTTTTTAATAGCATTAATTTTCGCTAAATTGATTTATCAACTTGTAATACTTTTTAAAACCCCGCGGACACCCTGAGTTCCTAGTGAGCCTCTTCATTTTGGTTCATAAGTAAACATTTGGCTTTGGCATAATCCTTTCATCACTGGATAGAAACTTGCTGTCTTCTATGCTATTATCAAGCATCTATTTGTTCTAAAAACCAGAATACTCCATGTCTAACTTTTACTAACGCTCTACATGAGGAGTTTCCCTCATCACTACAAAAAGTGAGCAAACAAGTTACAGGCTATGACCAATTATGCAATTTGAATATGTATGGGAACATACATAATGATGTTCAGCTTAAAACATAAGAGGAACCGAAACCAGGTTAAGAAGTCAATGTAGCTAAGAATGTAACTAATGATTATTGTCCTAATGTTTTCACTTAGATCACTTTTGAGTGCATCCGAAGAACTATGAGGAAGAAACCAGGAGTGAGGGAAACTTCAGTTTAAAATGGAAATGGATATTAAGCAGACTGTTGTATGTGTGTACACTAATCTGAAGGTGGTGATCACAGTAGCCACTTTATAAGCTACACCACTATAACATGGGAAGGACAAAAAAGAACATAACACCTCTCAATATAATAAAGTCCAGTACAACGCCACATTTAAGTGTGACTTCAGTAATAAACATATACAGAAGTAACACATTTTAAAGGTGGGGTAGGTAATTTTGGAGAAACCAGCTCGAGTGCGCTAGGATTTGAAAATACACAACCGGAGAAAATCTGCCACTTCCTTACAGAGCCCCTCCTCCAACACATGACGTGCACATGACCAATGAGGGCACGAGATAAGTTTGTGCACAGATGGAAGGCTGACAGGCAGGTAGGCCATCCAGTTATTTTAGCCGGGCCGGCTCAGATGATTGGTCGTGCTTTTTACAGTACTACGGCTTCCACTGATGACATTTGTTTATGGATTTTTTGTCAAAGCACTTAAAATATTCATTGCTATCGGGATGTTAAGAGCATTCCATGGAATATAACAAAAAGTGTATCTCGAGCCGGTTTCTCAAACTTACCTACCCCACCTTTAAACAATGTGAACAAAACACATGATGGGTGGAAAGCGACTGGAGAGAGAAGCAGCAGTAAATGTAGCCTGTCTAAATAAGGAGGCCTGGAGAAGAGAGGGCGGTGAGCAATACCCACTGATCCATCCAAATGATGGTGCTCACCGGATCTGACAGTGCACGCACTCAGAGACTGTGCCCCAGAATCAGCCTCATAGAGCCACAACTGCTCTTCCTTTCTCCACAGTGTGCAACACAATAACCCAGGTTAACCTCAGTCAGAGGCCCACTCAAAGAAAGGGGTATGAAGGGAAAAGAGTAGAGAGAAGAAGGTGGAATTCATCCAGAATGTTCCCAAACTTTTGGTTTTTCAGCCATTTCTACTGATACTAGCACTATAAAACCCGCTTTAGGTATTGGAAATGGGGGTAAAATACAAGGATATTGCAAAAATATAAGAAAGGTAAAAAAGGACAACTAACTGTCCCATATAATCTGGACATGATTGTTAGTATTTACTAAAATTGTCAGAATGCACACAGTCCCCTATCTGATTCCTTTTGAACAATGCTTGCTTCAAAGAAAATATAGGCTGTATATAATATTCAAAACAAGAATATAAATAGTTCCTTTATTCCAGAAGGGAAATCGGGTTTTGTGACAGTTGCTCCATTTTATAATATAATAAATAGAAATATAACTAAAAGATGTATATATAGATGCAAAGTTGAAGATAATCAGGCATTAAAGCCCTTCACAGCGCTACCCAATAAGCTGTAAATTAAGTGTTCAATTGCACTGCCAGTATCTATTCGGCGTGTTATCAGTCGGAGAGACCCATCGGTGAAGGACCCTGTTAACCCTGACATCACTTCATCTCATTTGGGCTCAGGTTTTCTCCACTGGCAGTGAGATTTCACAACGACAAAGCCCGCTGGTCAGCCAGCTGTTGACAAATCCCCAGTATTTCTCATGAGGCTCCGCCAAGCTGGCACACACACACACTCACTCACACACACGGATATCAGTGTGGCATGTATTCATGAAGCAGGGCTGTGAAATTGTTCTGTATAATATAACATATATTTTCAGTTATTATTACAAGAAATGGACATGTCAGTACCATGAGTGCAATGTTTCAATATCAAACTAGAAATAATTCTAATAATAACTCAAATTATGCAACCTACTTAAGAACACATGAATGTGTAGGGTTTTCTTTTCTTTCTTGAGATGACAAATTCTTCATGGCAGATTAGCATAAAGAAGAATAGCAGGAGGAGGGTATGAGGATCAAACCATTTCAAAGGATTTGTTCATTCTGTAGGAGGGAGAGCCCACTTAGATCTGTTTTAGTTCTGACTTTCAAATAATCAATCACTCGATCAGCAGAAATTAAAAAATGAAAAGTATTGAATGAAGCAAAAATGTGTCTGAAATGTGAGGGTTTGCTGCTGCTTTGTGTGCTCTACATAACATTGAATCAAATTCAACTGAAGGTCAGACAAAACCATCATTTGAAATACATCACCTAAACTATTTTTGACAATCTTTTCCAAACCATTATCTGTGAAAAGGAAACATAGCTCCTTAATTAATAGTGGTTGTGAATAATATCATAATCTCTCTCTATCTGCAAGTTAAATGTCTTGTTTTCACCTTATACACGGAAAACAATTGCCTGGGGGAGTGAAACTGACCTCCTTTGTGGTGTTAAAGATGACATCTACACTGGATTGGTGAAGTTGAAACATTAGATGCAAAGAGATAGGGTGAGTTTCTTACTGAATGTGTAACGTCATCATTTAAACAACTCAAAGAAACTGACGGAGAGGACACTCATGGAAATGTAACAGAGCTTTCTAACTTTTTTTTGTGAATGTATGACCTCAGGCCAACAAACTGCTGTGTCACACACTGTGTAGTTAGGAAAGTCTGAAGGATTGAATTGTGACCTCCAAAGCAACCAGTGATACTTTATCCGGGACTGCGTGAGTGGAAGTGATTGTGACTCTGTGTTCTCGAGCGTTAGAGGATGAAGAGAACAAGAGTTTATCCCACTTTTGAATTGTGTCCTGTCCAAGTTAAGTGTAAAGTACATGACGTGAAAAGGTTTTGTTTTTCTGAAACAGCTCTTATCTTTGCCTGAGGTGGCGTAGAGCACCCTGCTCTTCCACCAGCATGCAAATCAAGTCATTCCTGGCTTTCCGCTCGCGTTTGTTGACGTTAGAATAACATTTCCCCACGTCTGCATTTTCTCATGCTATGCCATTTTTCTGCAGCTGCACTCTCAGAACTAACTACACAGTTTACTGAAGCAAAGTAACAACTTAGCTTTTCATGAGTCAGGCTGCTGCACTAAACGCTGTTTATAATATGTCCTTTTAAAATACAACATAGCCCTGCTTTATCACAGCTTTGCAGGGGCAACGAGACAAATAGATTAAGTACACCAACACATAAAATGTGATATCAATTATAAAACAGGTGATCTTACAGTAGGTCCAATGCAATTCAGGTGACAGTTGCCAAGTAGAAGAAGGAAATATTGAATGAGCAGAACTTCAAACCTGCTTTTCTACAAGTATCTACTGTGTGTCCATGTAAAGAACCCGCACAGGTTTTTCTGGCTCTAAACTGAACTGCATAAGAAATGAAAAAGGTAAAGGGGTACAAAATGGTGACTATTTGTAAGACCTTCCCTACCTTGTCTCATACAAAGGGCCAATAAATCATGCTGTTGCTATTCAAAATAAAACCTTTGTTGGTTCAGTTAATTGCTCATAATGGAAAACATGACTAAGATGTCCTGTCTTACAAGGATGTTGCAAAACAGATAGCTTATAATATGTTTTCATGTGGTAGGCCATCACAATAATAAAGACTATGGCGTAGATATGTTAGTTTTCACGTCCTATAGGAAACTGTATATGTTTACACTGTGATGTAAGCTATAGAAATATATGCTTGTGTGCAAGCTGCTGCACCTGGGCCTATTTTTATTTTATTCCACACGTGAATCCTGCAGTAATAACAACAAAAGGGCTCATGTTTACGCCTTTATCCAGGGTGATCTCATCGCTCACTTCCAAAGGATGCTGTGCAAGAAAAGATGGACGCATACAGGTTAAATACTCACTCTGCGTAGCCGGTGGCCCACGGCAGCCTCTTGGTCTCCTTCAGGATGAGGATCGGTCGTGCAATGTGATCCGCCGAGCACTCAATCTCGTCGGGGGACAGACCCAGGAACTCCGGTCTGCTGTACGGGTATTTCAGCGGCAGATCCGAGCCTCCGGGATGGTCTCCGTTGGATCCACCAGTCATCATACCTCCCATAAAATTGGCCACTGCCGATTTCACCCGCGTTAGCATGGTCCTGCTGCAGCGTGGGTCAAGGCGATGCGATTGCGTGAGTATCCCCCCGCAAGGCGACGCAGTTTGGCGGCGTGAAAGGTAGACACACAGCGGTACAAACACATTCACTCATTCAGCCTGGCGCTACTATTGGGTGAACGCGGAAATAAAAAAGATCTCACAGCAGACACAGAGCTGCACGCTGGTCATGTGACAAACCGGTTGCTGCTGGTGGATTCGGCGAGGTCGCTGTGGCGTCTCAGTGAGCAGTTTACTGTTGACAATGCTGGAGGTCAAAGGTGGGTAATCCCGCAATGACGATTACCTCTTGCAGGCAAGGTGCAGTCTGCAGTCATAGACTGTATAAAGGGTGCAGACCACAGACTGCATATGAAGGGTGCAGACCATAGACTGCAAAGGGTGCAGAGTCAGACCACAGACTGCATATGAAGTATGCAGACCATAGACTGTATAAAGAGTGCACACCATAGACTGTACATATAAAGGGTGCAGACTGCAGACCATATACCTGTATACAGTATATAAAGGGTGCAGACAATAGAATATAACGTGCACCATAGACTGTATACAGTTAATATAAATGGTGCGGACCATAGACTGCCGACCATATACCTGCATACAATGTGCAGACCATAGACCTGTATACACTAAATGGTGCGGACCATAGACTGCAAAGGGTGCAGACCATAGGCTGTACATAAAGGATGCCGAGTGCCGACCATATACCTGCATACAGTGTACAGACCATAGACTATATAAAAAGGGTGCAGACCATAGATCTGTATAAACGGTGCATAGACTGTAAATCCATTGTGTTTTACAGCTGGGGGTTCCTGATCCCACAATCAGAAGCAATGCATACAGTTTTTGGACAAATTTTATAAACTTGTAATCAGTTAAATATCAGGTGTTAGGACAATTCTTATAAAAAGAATCTGAATAAGTCATACAATGCATAAAGCTGATGTTTAGTATTTGCTTTGTGCACTGTGAGTGGACAACCGAGACAGTCTACAAACAATAAATGCAAAACAATTCAAGGGAAACAAATTCAGAAGAGATTTGGGATATGATACTGACTGTGGCGGCCTTATTTCCTCAAACAATGTTGCCAGCGGACTGACTCACATTCAACTATGGTAAATAGTGTTCTTTAATTTATTCCACACACAGAATCAGCATTTATTCCAGATTACAAACAGGAAGGTTACGTTACCCACAACATTTCAGTTAAAACCAGAGATATTTCTCTAATCTGGCAAGATTTGTGGAGTATCACTTTCTGTCTATTCTTTGATCTCGTTTTCAAATTATTTTGTCAGTTTTTCTGGCCTTTAGTTGGTTTAAATCTGATCTTTAGGATGTGTGTCTAGACATTCATGAATTTAAAAACACACTAAGTGCTGCATTTTGGAGAAGTGAGCCTCACAAAAGTATCTGTTATACAATACCGCAGTCTATACTGTATAAAAGCCAAACCACACATCAGACTCACCGGCTTCTTTCTATCGATGGACCAGCATGCTGAAAGGCGAAGTCTGACATTTGGTGTATTTTAATAATCTTGCAGTTATGATGTTTTGAAATCCCTCAGGGGATTAATAAAGTAAACTATATATCTATTTAAAGTAATGAAAGTCTGAGAAAACAACTTAATTTTGCTCCACTTAAACAGATGATGAAAGACTGATGCAAATTGGCACTGTTACACTCATCTGGGAATTGATTCAAATCCATTCATTACAAAGGTTCTCTGGAAATATTTTGCCTTTTGGACAGACAGGGACTGTTTTCATCAGCAGTCTACTGGAAGTTGGCAGACGTCTGATTAGCCTTCAAATAGAACTCTGCTTGTTTAGCATCAAAATCACAACTAGAACTGATTTTAAGAAACGAATCGCATCTCTTTTATGTGCATTTGTAAGGCTTTACATGTACGTCATTCTTCTCTTTCAAGTACAAGCCAGTCGTTTTGACTTCTAATAATTCTCAGTTACGTCGTTGTTTGCCTTAAGTAATTGATGTTGGCTCTTACTACCCACACCTCCTGCTTCATACACACATACCAGTATACTGATATAATACTTCACATGGGAAATGTCTGAAAACCATACATGATTATACTTTATGGTAATCGATTAAGCACGCTTTTTAAGGTCATGCAAAACCAGACAATCAGAGAAGTTGAGCAAAGCTGTCTATACATCCATTAATTCACTCTATACAGTATGTGAATGTATTTAAGACATTATTTTGGCCATGTTTCGCTTTATAAGCATACATCTAATGCGTTAACATGTTCTTAAAAGGCAGTCTTATTATACATATAGACACATATAGCTTTAAATTATAACATCATGACACATGAAGAGCATGTAATACTGACTTAAAATGTATCCTTCATAATTGCTGGTCCCTTTCTGACATTTCTTGTTAGGATTATAGTGTGTTATTATTCCAATAATTGTAATACATAATTATCTTTTTATAATTAAATGTACTGCATTTTAATAATTTACTATATGAAGTATGACGCATTGTGTTTATAATGCATAAAATGCATAGACTTGCAACACAAATCTTAGTGTAACTAGAAAGTAT